TATTATAGACAAGGATGTGTACAACTTTAATAAGTCTAGCTTCCTAATAGGCAAGATCTTATTACAGCTAGTAGTAACAGGCTTAGAGAAGCCTAGGAAGTAGAAGAAGATCTAACCTAGTAATTGTAAGTAGGTTACCCTAGTACAAGGCGTTAGGTTAACAGGGAAGGTTATCCTACTATTCCTTATCCTTACAGGCAAGGTTCTTATCTCTAACTAGTTTACTAAGGACCTCCTACAGGACTAGGTTATTAATGTTAGTCCTACTAGCTAGACTAACAATAATCTAGCGCTTGCCTGGCTCCACCACTTTGATACGCATGCGAAGCTAGTTGGGGTCTACTAGCTACTTATTATTGACAGCCATGAGAGCCACTGCTTAGTGGCTTTCCAAGATCTCTGCAGAGAGAAGAAGATAATCACTCTCTGTATGCCCCCGCACTCATCGCACCTGTTGCAGCCACTTGACGTTGCCTGCTTCTTGCCACTAAAGCGCCTGTATGGCGACAAGGTTTCGGCCTTGGCACGCAGTCGCATCCACTATATTAACAAGGAAACCTTCCTACTAGCCTTTAAATCAGCGTTTAGTAAGGCGTTTACTAGAGAGAACGTTCGCGCAGGCTTTAGAGGTGCTAGGCTAGTCCCACACAACCTAGAGGTGGTGTTATTAAAGCTTAATGTGCGCCTACGCACGCTAACGCCACCAAAACCCAGCAACGTCGCCTAGGAGCTAAAGACACCACGCACTACTCACGAAGTAGAGGAGCAGTTAACTCTAATTTAAAAGCAGATTTAAATCTATTAAGGGTCTCTAGCAAGTTTGTTAGATGAGCAGGTTAAATAGTTAGTAAAGGGCGCTCAGCAGATAGCTTATAATATAGTGTTAATGCAGGAGGAAATAGGCCACCTTTGAGACGCTGTAGAAGCGTCTACAAAGCGCAAGACCTGTAAGCAACAATATATACGCGCAGAGGAGACCCTTATAGTTAGTAAAGTAGCTAACTTAATTACTAAAAAGGAGGGTAGGGGTTATAGTAAGGGCAAGACACCTGTAAAGAGGGTGCGCGTTAGACAACGCTGTAGGCGTTGCAGTGAGATTAGACATAGTTCCTGCACTTGCAAGGTAGATTGATTGATTGATTGATTAGTTTAACGTCCTGTGTGAGTCTAAGACTATATAGGACGAGAGCAGTGAGGCTGCTCTAGTAATTTACAAGTTTTTTCTGTGTAAGGGAATAGTATATATAGGTTTGTAGACATATAGTAAGAGCCTGTGCTCTAGTTATAAACAAAGGAAATTAGTTGTCTGTTGTTTGCTGTAGGTACTACTTGCGTGTGCCTACTTTAGTTTCTTGAATAAAAGCTAGTGTAGCTTAGATTCCCCTGTTTGTGTCTAGGAGAAGGGACATTGTAAGTCTTGTCTCCTGTAGGCTGCTCTTTATTTTCTTTCTTGCTTCTCTGTAGTTTCTACAGCTAAGTAGTAGGTGTTGAGGTGTTTGTGTATATCCACAGCTGCATTTAGAGCTTTCTGTTTTTTGTATATTATATAGATATGCTTTATTGTATCCATGTCCCAGCTTTAGCTGGTAGTATGCGCTTGCAATTTCTCTTCTAGTGTTTTTTAGCAGTGTTATCTTGCTTGTTGGTTTTAGCAAGAATCTTGCTGCGTAGGTGCTAGGATTTCTAAGCTTTGCTTTTGTGGAGTAGGCTTAGAGTTTCTGTTGCCACTCTTGTCTTGCAATAGCTTTAATCCTAATACCTGTCATTGCAAGACTTGTAGTATTAGATACTGGTTGCTGTTTTGTAGCTTGTTTTGCCAAGACGTCTGCTTTTTCGTTTCCTGTAATATCTAGGTGTCCTGGGGTCCAGTGTAGGCTAATTATTGCGCCTTTGCTGTTGATTGCCTTTGCTGCGTTTGTGCAGCGGATTTGCCAAGCTTGTCCAGTTTGCAAGGTAGAAATAGAGGACGCAGATGATAGTAAAGCTTCTAAATAATACTATCTAGGCCTGCAAACAATTATTTATTTGTGTTGTGTTGTGATATAGCGCTGCGCAGGCGTTCTGTTGTTGAAAGTGCGGCGCTCGGTTGGGTGCGGCGCTCGCTTGTGAAACACGTTATCTAAGAATCTAAATATACTATTCCTGTACACAGCAAAACTTATGAATTACTATAGTAGCCTAACTACTCGTGTCCTATATAGTCTTAGACTTACACAGGACGTTAAACTAATCAATTAATCAATCAATCATTCACACTTGATCAACGATCAGAGGCTGCTTAGCTTCTACAGACAATTGTCTGCTTCATTTGAGGGCTTTTTCGCGTTCTTGTGTTAAAACGTTACAACTTGTGTGAAGTTGGGTGTAGTCTTGGCGAAAGTGAGCGGCTCGCTTGTGGAGTACGTTAACAGTCTTATTACTAACATCAATAAGCATGTTTTTACTTTAGCACAGGTATCAAGCCAGCTGGCCGAAAACCCCAGTTATCGCTAGGAGCTAGCGCTGGGGTCTATATTACAGTGTTGTGTCTAGAACTTTCAAGCTGTTTCTACACCTCAAAGCTCCCTTTTTTTGGCTGTTGTGCAGTCCCTTCCTAGCGAACTGTGGTTGTGGTCTTGACTGCACTCACTTTAAGGGCTGACAGCTAGGGCCTGCAGTTCAAGTTATTGCATACCTCAAATTGGCATTAGCGGCGAGACGACAAACGACAGTGGCGAAAAAGTCATTGAGCAAGGCCTTTGCTACTATGAAACCGTCAGCAGCAGTGCAGGAGCAGACCCAATCTGGAACAAAGTAAGCGGCGTGCACAGCCACGTAACGAATTCTCAGATTACAGGACCCAAAGTGCTGGAGAATAGTTTATGTTCTTGCGAGAGCTTAGAATCAGGACCAGTTCAGGACACAGGTTAATAAAGGCTGATGGTGATGGTATCGCGCGGGTTATTATGTTCTTGGTGCTTATGATGCAGACCTCAGTTCTATCAGAGTGGTGCATGGACAAGATAACCTATGGGCACACAGGATGGCGGCAATAGAGCAACATGTGGGCACGCGATAACGGGACTGGGTTCAACCTTAGCAGCAAAGCTATACCGCTGTCTGACAAGGGAGACTGACTCATAATCAAGACTTTAGGTGGTGGAGGCTGTGGTAAGAATATGAGCCCCTGATACTGTACTGTGGTATCTAGCATAAGTAGTATAGGTATGGAAGAAAGTGGGTAGTACTTAGGTTCAACGTATCAAAAACTTGAAAGCGTCCTATAGGGCAGGAAGGTGAATAGTCAGCATTTAAGCGTTTCCTATCAGCACTAACAGAGAGGAACACACCTTGAGTTCGCAGTCCTTTCCCCTAGACGCCGTTTCCCACATGCACTACTTATGCCGGTTACCACAGTACAGAGTGGGTCAGCTTCACCCAATTACTACAAGGTTCGAGGGCAACTGTGAAGAACGGAGTGCCTGACGCTCATGCATGCTAGACCCTCTAGTACCAACGTCACTTTAGCCCGTCAGACCTGCTATGGAAAGCATACTTTGTCATCTTTGAAAGAGATAGCCTTTTCCAGTAGTAGTACTATTCGTCTACTAGCAACAACCTTAGACCGCTGTTACTAGCTGTCACAGGTCTTGCTCAGCATTTGACCGATGCCGTATCTTCTCTCTTGCTTGATTATTCTTTGGCACGGAAGTCATTTCTCCGTTAGCGCCTCGAGCGGGATCTCGGTGTCGGATGTTGTCGGAGGATCGCGGAAAGCGCGACCAGGACAGCCAACGTTGAGGCAAGCAACCGCAATTATCATGAACCTAGAGGAAATCAGTCTAAAGTCAGTGTGATTGGTAGTGCGGCCCACTTACACCGACTCGAACGCAATGAAGGTGCCTTCGTCTCGGAATGCAGGTGCGAAGTATCCAGCCTTCAGCTCGTAGATGCGGAAGATGCATCGAACCAAGATCAGGATCGTAGCCGCACCGAGCCACATGATCATCATCTTCAGCGCCCTCTCCATCCTTAGACCACTCTTCCTGTGTGACGTCCTCAGCGCCCAAAGATAGTCCGAAGTCAGACCGATGAAGAGCACAAGGGTAATTACTTGAAAGATCAGACCAGCTTTCGATACGTCGACGCCGAGTTTTGTACCATCAACTGTATCAGCGCCGGCCGATAAGGCGCCACCGGTTCCCTGAAGGACAAGAGAAATGATGTCGCAAGGAATGAAGGTGAAAGTTATGAAGCGTGGATTGAACCGGGAGACTGATCGATTGCTGTGCGTTATACTGAATGAGAGGATCAGTAAAGCTCCGAGAAAATGGATATCAGCAGCTGCAATAATGGACTTACACCCTCGTGAGCTGGATATAAATTGCGGCGCAGAAGAAGACTGGAGCTACGGTGATCGGCACTGCTTGAGGTCAGTCTCATGTGAGCTTGGGCTGTATGTCGCGCTCTATCAGTTGCTTACCAAGGTTCACTAGGAAGGCGTTGAAGTCGAAAGGGTTATGATGCAGCATGATTCGACCAACGTAACCTGCAAGCTCAAGGCCGCAGCCAGCCACCATTGACGCCATGTAAACCCAAGCCTTGTAGCGGAAACCTTGGGCAACATGAGTCATCATTAGAAGACCGAACGCCGCAAGGAATGTCGCGTTCGCAGGGACGTTGGGCAGGTATCGGAAGACGCTCCATTCGAGCTTGCAGAGATCGAGCGTGCAGTTTGCCATGGGACCGAAAGGAATCGGCTCGAAATCGTTAGTCGCCATTGTTATCGTGGATTAGACCGTGATATGAGACGAGCTGTCGAGACCGCGGGCGAACAGCTCGCGCTTTTGGACCTTTGTAGACGTTAAGTGAATGTAAAGAAGATGCGTCAAAAGCCACCGGCGGTCTGCTCGGTCCGCCAGTCCATTGCGCTTGCTTACTCTTTTTGGAAGCTGTCGCGAGCGCACCTATAACAAGTAGGCAGAGTCGCCCACGGTTCACACATCATCCCTTCATTGCATTGCCCTCGATATTCATTGTCTTGATGTCGTGCAACGGCCCACAGGTGCGAGTTGGTGTACTAGCCACTTTGAGGAGACCGGATCGCTATTGGTTGAACTATGCGGGAGCTCAAAACAGCGTCGGCGCGGCGCATGGCGTCAAAGTTCCACACGTAAAGCTGAAAAGCGCGCGCACCTTCCTCGTACCGGAAACCTGAGGCGCCGCCGGTAGTGACAAGCCTTCAAGGCGAGAGCTTGTCATGACTGTGGCTCACCACTAGCATACAACCGGGATAATCGCGCATGCCAATGACAAGCAACCAACAGTGGCTCCAAAGACAATTGAAGAGAGGAGTATGGTCCGACGATGGTGATCCACCTGGCTGCAGCTGGATCCGATTTGTATATAAGGCGACTGAACCTTCTCAATTCTGAGCGACTTTGTCACAAAATCAATCGTGTCTCGGCGTACAACATGAAGACACAAGTTTTGCTCAACACCTTCCTGGCGCCCGTCGTTGCAGGCACGCAGGTCGCCAACTTTAACGTATCGGCTAGCATTGCTGCACAGTACGGTTGCAATGACACCTGCTATGAAGCCTTCAGCGCTGGAATTGCTCGAGATTTTGCGGAATTCGGCGCCGTATACGACGTAGACTTCTATGCGACCGCGAAGAACTTTTCAAGTTCAGCACCAGGCGATATCCTCAAATTCGAGCCCATCAACTCGAAGGATCTGACAGGAAGCGTTCCTCCAGGCATCTCCGCCTACCGAATTCAATACACCTCGGTGGACCTCTCTGGCAACAACGTACCGGCAACTGGCTTCGTCGTTTTCCCCTATGCCAATCGAAAGAATAGTCATTTCTACCGCACAGTGGCGTGGGCGCACGGCACTTCAGGCGTTTTCAGAGGCTGCGCACCTTCTGCGATGCCTGATCTCTATGAATACGACAGCTGGGCTTTGTTGGTCGAGAGGGGTTATGCAGTCATCGCTACCGACTATGCTGGCTTGGGCAACAACTACACTGGTCACCCATACTCAGCTTTGTCAGCCCATGCAAACGATGTGTTTTACTCCGTAGCAGCCTCCCGCAAGATCTGGGGCGCCTCATTGACCAAGGATTGGATGAGTGTCGGTCACTCTGAGGGTGGAGGCGCTGTCTGGTCGCTTGCCGAAAGTCCTTTGGTGCGCGACGGCTCAAACATGGCTGGTAACTACCTGGGAACTGTCGCCCAAGCTCCAGGTGTCTTCCAAGGTCAAACAGCTCTTGCAGCTACAGAAGCAGCCGAACTCTCTTCGTCGTCTGACCTGAGCTCATCCACCGGTGTGCTCGGCGAGCTCGGTTGGGCGGTCATTGGTCTCCAGAATCTGTACCCAAATGAGACCTTCAACTGGTTAGACTCTACGTATAGACAGCGTTTGGAGCTCGCAAGAAGGGCGCAGGCTTGTTACGACTCAATGGAGGCTATTGCAACTGGCCTAAATATCGAGGAGATCATTGATCTCTCTGACCCCAAAGTAGCGATGCAAGCCTTGCGAGTCATCGGTATCATCGACGAGCTGTCCGCTGTAGGTGGAAACAAGAGCTATCAGCCGTTACTTGTTGTCCAAGGCCTTGAAGACACATCCGTTTCGCCTGAGGTCACCGAGTACGCTTGGAACGCGACTTGCGAAGTCGGCAGCGAGGTGCATCTGCAGCTGTACCCTGGTCTCGAACACGACCCGGTGATTCCAGCTTCAGCGCCATATTTCCTGCAGTGGATGGACGATCGATTTGACGGTGTGGAAACCACCGGAAAATGCTCTAAGCTGACCGTGAAGCCTTTCGATGCGGCCAATTTCTATGCGCCAGTGGACGAAGACTGAAGGAAATCCCGTTGGACCTCGCTTGGTTGAAATCAAATCTGGGAACTTAATCAGCGCCTTACGATTCTTGTGTTGGTGTCTACCGCAGTCACTCTTTGGAAACCCTCCCATGGATGTGGTGCCATTAAGCAGTAGTACGAAGTTCAGCGTGTCCAACTGGAAGTAGTACGGAAACCTGCAGTCACAGTTTACGGCAGCAGGCAACAGGAAGCAACGGTAATAAAGTGAGCTGTAGCCGTAGCAGGAAAAAGCTGTGGGTTGATCTGTAGTACGGCAGTACTACGTTAAAGTTTAGTGTTAGTTAGAGAATATTCAAATTCACGCGTCTAAATATGTAGGATGTTTTACAGTTGTGTAACGTTATTTCATAATGATATCGTAAGACCTCGTGGCTAAAGCTGCTCTATGTGATAGTTCGCATAGTGCTGTGCAATACAGTGGTTAATAAAAGGGCCCTAGTAGTTTTACAAGTTTAAATCTCCTTTGTGAAATTATTTTGCTTCATTTGCCTATTGTTATATTTTAGCACTGTGTGACAAATACCACCGTAGCAACGCTTATGGACCCTACAGCCACATGATTTCGTAATTTCAGGAAGCTACGGTTACTTATTTGAGCCGTAGGTTACGGCAATTGACCTTTGCAGTAGCTGTATACCTCCCGTTCGACACGCTGAGTCGTCGTCGTCGAAGTTTCGTCCTGAGCTGCTGGTTTTGTGCATCGCCGATCTTTGCAAAGGTCCCAATATGGTGTTTTTGATCATACAATGAGCGAACACCTGCATGATCAATGATGATATTTGCTACAACATTGCTTAGCATTCAAGTATGGTCTTCAGCTATAGCTTCTCTATGACCATCAGCCTTCAGTCTCAACGCTTCCGCAGCGCTTTGCCTCCACCTCATTCCATTATTCATGATCCAGACCACAGCACCAATCAGCAGAACATATACCAGCCCGATGAACGTGAAAGCCCAACCCGGATTAATAGCTCTACACATGGGAATGATAGCTGCGGATCCTCCTGCGCTCATCAAGCACCTGACAAAGTTGATCGCTGCTGTAGCTGCAGCAGGCTTGTCGCGGTGCAGATCAACAAGTAATCCGTTTGTGATGTTGAATGCAGTCGATATGCCGAACCCAGTAATGAAAAGTGCAATCTCTGGGCCAGCTAGGTGTGTCTGAAACTTGACTGTCCAGCCGAATATAATCAGGCCCAGAACACCAATAATGTGGCCTGGGAGCACAATCTCGAGCTTCACCCTCTCGATCGGGAAGTGGGTCAAGTCCTGTTGCTTGCCCTTTGAGATGGGCATGTTCAGCCGTGCAGCATGGCGCCGGAAGTTCCAGTCAACAACGTGGCCCATGGTCAGAGATGAAACGAGAGAGCCAATGCCATTAGCGATGTAGCACAGTCCTATGTCGAGTTCGTTGAGATTGTAAGCTGCCTTGAAAAGGTCCGGTATCGACGTTGTGGTTACCATCATGCCTGTGAAAAAGAAGCCATTGTACAACAGGATGATGCAGGACTCTTTCTCACACAAAATTCGGAAGGTTGCGAGCGGGTTCAGCGAGACTTTGGCCTTGGCAGGCGTCGCATCCGCAGCTCCATGATCGGCGGGGTACGATTGTTTAGCAAGCTTGCGCCGCTGATACCAACTGATGACAGACTGGCTGATGCCTCGCGCCGGTATGGATCCATTACCAACCACATTTCTGCATGTCTCTGGGAAAAGAAAGACGAAGATGACGAGCAGTACTCCGGAAAAGATTGCCAGGAACCAGAAGATTGATCGCCACCCCAGGTATTGTGCTAAGATTCCACCAATTGTAGGTCCAAATGCCGGGCCACACAGAATGCCTGCGCCAGCGTAGCCCATGTATTTCCCTCGCTCAGCCGAGGTCGATATGTCGGACACAATGGCGAAAGCAAGAGCGATGGCCGCACTGCACCCAACGGCTTGAACCATACGTAGGATCAGCAACGCAACATAGTTGGTCTGGAGTGCCAGTCCGATGTTGGCAACGATGTAGATGACGTAACAGACGATGAATGATAGCCTCCTACCACTGGTATCGGACATGGCTCCAATGATAGCTGGAGCAATTCCTTGTGCAATCTGGTTGGTCAGCTTTGAACGATGTCCTGGCCGGTGTCAAACTTACCATGTAGGTAGTGATAGATATGTTAGCTTTGGTGGGTGTGATATCCAGAACGTCTGTCAGCACATTGAGCGCGGGGAGCATTGTGGTAGCGCCAAACGGTGAGATTAGTGCTGAGATGGAGACCAGGAAGATGATCCATGTTTTCATTCGTGAACTGAACACTGAATAAGGTGGTCCTGACACCTGCCGCTGGATGGCTGCCCGTGGTCCATTCTTCTCGATGTCTACCTCTGGCGATGCATCTCTTGCAACATCTGGCGCTTTCGTATCTGCAGACACATACATTGATCTGGACTCACTCATGGTGGTGGCAGCCCATGACATAGGGTGGTCACACGACCGTTGGGATCGTCGAAGTTGAGGTGACGAATCGGTCGACTCTGAATTCCTAAGTCCTGGGGCGTGCGCAACTTTAAACGAATGCCTACTGGAGCTCACAGAGCGCAAAGCTAGTAGCGCAAAGTGGAGATGTGTGTCTTGCAGCTGTGCGCTTGCGCCACCTGGATATATGCTCGGGAATGATGTCGTCGAATGTTGCAGTAATTAAGCTTCATGGCTGATGCATCTTTGACAGTGCTGCTGTCTCAACGCCAATCAGGAGCAACGGATGGGTAAATAGCTTCCGCAAAACGCATGAGAGTGCAGTAGCTGCCTCGTCGAAAAGGAAGGTGCAGGCCGTGATCCGGAAATAAATTTAGTCACCGGACCGAGATCGGCATCTATCTAAGGAAAATAACTTCCGAGCTGCACAGTAACGTTGTTGCAGGTTCAATATCGATGTCTAGACAAGCACATTGGCGTCTTGCCGGCTATCTCAAGTGGGCCCACGCAAAGTACTTGGCTGCATACTCATCTCTTTGCGATCTGACCGGGGGGAGCCATAGACTGGCTATGGCTGAACACTGCCACCTGGATCGCCCTCCAAACCGATGATGTTGGCTTTCAGAAGAAGAAAGCAGCTTGAGCTACACGACAAGACACTGAGAGCTGAGTCCCGGGGCCAAAAGACAGATGGTGGTCGACTCCAACTTGTTCGGAGACCTTCCAAGCTCTCAGTCATCCCAGGCTACGTCATCACTCTTGCCTTTTTCGAAAGCGACGATGGGTGACGTTCACTTCCCCAACTTCTTGGCAGCTGACGACCTTTAATAATTCGAACACACCTGGCTCGCAACTACTCCACACTCCTGGGCATCGACTTCATAAGGATCCCGCCGATAATGCCGTTGTTCCTGTGTCAATCCTGTCCGCGCCACTGGCCTCGGAAACGGAACGGCTCAGGCGGAATCTAGTCGACAACAAGCTTTCTAAGAGAGCACCATAACGTAATAGACCATCTGCTACCTTCACCCACGTCTTTTGCATTTGGCTCGGCTTCTCAGACAAAGCTACACCATGCGTCATCAAGACCAGCACGCAACATGCCAAGCGCAGAGGCTGATGGTTCGGGAAGAGGCTCTTCTGGGCCGGCGGCAAAAGCTGCATTTTGCTGCGCGGACCTGTCATTGACGAATAGTGGACGACGCCCTCATTCTTGGCTACTTGATTATACAGACTATGTGCATCCCGGCACGCGTCATCGTTAGAAACTTGGGTTCACGGCCATGTTCCTGTTTCTTGTCACGACAACTTCCGAGCCGTATCAGCAACCGCACAGCTTCGACAACTTTAGCGACTACCAGTCTTCTCGAGATTACCAAAGCCTCTTCTTTTATCAGCACACGCCAATTTCACGCTCCAAACCACACAATGGGTCCTCTACCAGGCGTACAAACTGTCTCCAAGCATAAGGACAAAGTGCGCATGCTCGTCCTTGAGACCGATGAGACCCATCCAGACACCCAGAAAGAGGTGGGCGGCTTCGGCGAAGTTTTCAACAATCTCTTCACCAAGGCGGGAGACGATCATGATCCGCAGCTGGGCATCGAGACCATGATGCAGTACATTGTCGAGCCTGATGGTGGCGAGGTTCCCGGGCCAAACGATATTCCAGAGGACCTGCATGCAATTCTCATTACCGGCAGCGAGTGGGATGCGCATGGCGACGATGAGTGGATTCACAAGCTGATGGATTTCATCAAGTGTGAGTTCTCACACCAATCTGGGCGTCTCGAAGCGTCCCAGCGCTCATTGAAAGAAGATCGAAGCTGACATGTCTCCTAGACATCTGGACGCACCGCCCCGACATCAAATTCACCGGCATATGTTTCGGGCACCAGATTCTCTGCCGCGCGCTAGGCTCGACCGTCGAGCCCGAAGCGAACGGCGAATGGGAGCTGTCGCACACGGAGCTCGAGCTCTCCGAAGTGGGTAGGAAGCTGTTCAGAACGCAGAACGCCAAGATCCGTCTGCACCAGATGCACCTCGATCACGTTGTCAACGCGCCGAGTCCTGAGACGACGGATCTGCTGGAGAAGGGGACGAAGGTGCATGTCTGGGGTGGGAGCGATCATACACAGGTGCAGGGCGTGTACATCCAGAAGAGGCTGTTTACCAGCCAAGGGCACATGGAGTTTAACGAGCGCTATGTCAAGCGGCAGCTGGAGATGCGCGTCGATGCCGGCAGTGTGGAGAAGAACGACGCCGACGAGGCGGCGGAGAGGGCGGACTGGATGCACGACGGGCTCGTTATGGCGAAGGCTGTGCTCCGCTTCTTCCACGGCGACGATGACAAGTCAGAGTTCAAGTAGAGAGCGGAAGTGCGAGAGCTAGACATTGACCTAGGGCTACGAAGTAATGACATGTATCACCACTAGAGATATGCACTTGACCATGGCTGTTTTTCGGTCGAGCCAGCAAGTGACTCTGCAGCACACGTAGGGCACTCTCATGATAGTGCCTAAGCACTGCAGTCAATGTCCACCTGGCCCTTCATCTTCAGCTCCTCGGCAGCATGCGGCGCCTCGGCCTTCTTGCCTTTGCTCTCCTTCCCCGTCAGCACATCCGTGAAGAGCTTGCGGCAGGCCTCGATACACTCCTCGCTGATCTGATAGTGCACGACGAAGCGCCCTCCTCTTGTGCGAACACCGTACTTGTTGGCTGTCTCGATGAAGTGATCGACGTCGATTGCGTGCGCCTCGAGGTTCAGCCACACCATGTTCGAGTCCACAGGGTAGTCCAGCTGGCCGCCCAGATCGGTCCAGAGCTTCTGTATCCGCCTCGCCTTGTCGTGGGACTCTGCGAGCTTGCCGCCAAGGAACGTCTCCTCGACTGCGACGCGGGCTGGTGCGGCGACCACGCCCGCCTGGCGCAGGCCGCCGCCGATGGACTTCCTGACCCAGCGACTGCGCTTGATGAAGGCCTTGGTGCCGACGATGATGCTGCCGATCGGCGCGCCGAGGCCCTTGCTGAAGCACAGCGACAGACTGTCCATCTCGGCGCAGAAGTCCTTGAGGGTCCCTGCGCCCGCGGCTACGGCCTCCCACAGTCGTGCGCCGTCCATGTGCATTATGATGTCATTCTCGCGGGCCCAGGCAGCGATGCGACGAACTTCGGACAGCGGCATGATGGCGCCGTTCAGCGTATTCTCGAGCGATATGACGCGGGTCGGGCAGGCGTGCACATCGTCGCTGATGACGGCGTACTTCCTGACTTCCTCGAGGGTCATGTACGTCCCGTTCTTGGCGTCGACCGTCTGCGTGAACGCCTGTGACAGCGAGGCGACGCCACCGGCTTCGTACTGGATGATGTGCGAGCGCCGGTCGCAGAGGATGGCGTGCGGCGGGGCGGCGAGGTGCGAGCGCAGGGCGACCTGGTTGCCCATGCTACCGGAGAGGACGAGGAGGGCGTCTTCCTTGCCGGTAAGGTCGGCTATAAATTTCTCGAGGCCGAGCGTGGTCGGATCTTCCATGGAGACATCGTCGAGCAGAGAGCACTCCTGGATCGCCCTCAGCATGGAGAGCGTCGGCGTTGTGTGCACGTCGGAGCGGAAGTCAAACGCCGCGGGGTTGCGCTCATTGCCCCAGGCGGAGCCGACCTGCTTCTCGCCACTATTCCCAGCAGGCGCCTTGCTCTTGGCGGTGTATTGGTCGAAGGCCGACATGACGAGGCGTGTCGGCGATGTGTGAAGCCCGCGGCCTGGTGCGAAGGTGGGGCGAGTGCGGGTGCAGGAGACAGCCGCGCTGCGGTCAGCTGCTCGGCCGGGTGTTGCTGGGAACGTGTGAGGTCAATCGCACAGTCTGTGGCCGGCACCACGTACTGGAAAGCCGAGCGAGCGGGTTTAAGCGTAGCCGCGGCATTATGGAGAGAATACTGCGTGTCGAGTCTGCTTGTCCACGCAGGGCACCTTCGACGTTGGACCGCCGCGGACAAGCGCCACCAGCCGCTCCAGGGCGGCGCTATGTATTGCGGACTTGGCATGGAATACACTATGCAGTGCTCATCATCCTACACATTGCTCTCTGTGTGTCCATCGTGCGTCGTTGCAACCCTCTCTTTCACCTCGAGGTTCACTGGCCGCGCCTGCCCACTGTAATGATTCCACACTGCTCAGCGAGCTCCTTCTTCGTCTTGTCCTTCCTCTTTTCCTACCATTTCCACGTGCGCGGCGTCTGACTTTCTCGTCCAGCGTCTCTTCTGAGCCTTCTCGAGCAGCTGTAGCCGTCTGCGAACAGCGACTTTCCTCAACCTCAAAGCAGCTCTCATATGCTTCTCCATCTCTTTTGCGAGCTCCAAGTGCTCCAATAATCTTGTTCTTAGGGTGAGTGCCTTCAAGCAGGTCGGAGGGTGCTATGGGGGAATAGTAGTGGTTCTGTGCTCTCTACACTTCTGTCATGCGTTTACAAGCATAGATAAGATAATCAGGTCTATGGGATTGGCTGTCTCTGTCTCACTTGCATATACAGTAGCCAAGAACAAAGTGGCTTGAGCAGGCTGAATGGTGGAAGAGCTATGCCGACCTATCACAGAGGTGCCTTGTCGTGCCTTCGTCACACATCAACCACAGCAATATTGATCGAACAAAACGAATAGTGTTTCCAGCTTTCTACCTACCGACCCAAACGGCGACCCAGCAACACTGATGATCCACAAGCAACCAGAGCCAATGGCGTCGAACATTCCTCTGTCGCGGGCCTCCATACTTCCCGAAGCTTCTCCTTTCTCAGCCTCGCCTCATGTGCGGCCGAGGCATGAGCAGATTGCTGCCAACTCGGCATCGCCCTCGAGAGGTCCCGAGTACCGAGCCATGGACAAAGCGATGTTGGTGTTTGGTGCTGGAACTAGGACATGCATCGGAAAGCATGCAAGTACTCCTGCCTGTTGGTACTCGATTTGTTTTGATGCTAATACCTCACCGCAGCTTTCGAACGCTGAGATGTACAAGGTGATGCCGGAGATTGTCCGCCGCTTCTCTGTCCGAATGGCTCTTGATCAGCCTTGGACGACTCGCGACGCCGTCTTCATCATGCTGAGCAATGCCACATGCAAACTAACGCGAAGGTTTCAAGAGTGATACGGTGCGTATAAGCTGCAAGTCTGTGTACAAGTCTCCAGAATTGGAAAGCATAAAACACGAGAATGTTACGACATCAGCTTCATTACGGCAGCCTGTAACTGCATTGGGTATTACGCTAAACTAACATCTAGTTCTTGAGAACGTACCTGTACCTGGGCAGGCCCTTCTCGAAATCAACAATAACCTGGTTGGCCTCGCTCATAGGCCTAACCTGGACCCAGGCCTGGAGATTGGTCTTCTTAGCCAACTCCAGCATATCGCGGATGTGCTGCCTGGTACCGATCAGAGAACCAGCAATCTTGAGGTTCTTAAAGATCAAGCCCATGGGGCTGAAGCTGGGGAGCGGGTCGTCAGGGGCACCGAGCTGGACAAATGTGCCGTTCACATCGAGGAGGTTGAGGTACTGGTCGAGAGGGAAGGAACCGGAGATGGTGGAGATGATCAGATCGAGACCGTTGGCGTTTTTGGTGGCCCAATCGGGGTCCTCGCCAGTAGCTATGAAGCGGTCCGCGCCAAGCTTGATGGCGTCCTCCTTCTTGGAGGAAGAGCGGGAGATTGCGACGACCTCGTCGGCACCGAGGGCCTTTGCGAAGAGAAGGGCGAAGTGACCAAGGCCACCGACACCGACAACACCGACGCGCTTGCCGGGGCCAGCACCGTAGGAGACGAGGGGGTTGTAGACGGTGACACCGCCGCACATGAGAGGCGCAGCGAACTCAGAAGGAAGGCCCTCAGGGATAGGAATGGCGAAGGAGGCGGGTCCTCGCCATGCCTTAGCGTAGCCACCGTACGACTTGTCGCCGTTGAGGTGCTTGCCGTTGTAGGTCATGGTAAGTTTGTTGCAGTTGGACTCCTGCTTCATCTTGCAGGGGCGACAGCCCTCGCAGCACTCAGACTGGGCACCAACACCGACGCGGTCGCCAACCTTCAGGTCCTTGACATCTTTTCCGACCTTGGTGACATGGCCAATGATCTCGTGTCCGACGACAAGAGGGTAGTCAGAAGGACCCCAACCAGAGCGGAGGGTGTGAATGTCGGAACCGCAGACACCGCAATGAGAGATCTCCATCTCAATGTCGGTCTCCTCGAAGACCTTAGGCTCGAAGTTGCCCCACTTCATGTTGCCATCGGCGGCAGAGGGGTCGTAGGCGACCCAGCCGTTGAACTCGGGAGTGGAAGACATGTTGTGAGTGTGTGATGGATTGGTATTCTGGAGAATTTTGCAAAGAGCTGGCGACCCCCCTATGTACCTCCGTACTCTGTCCCAAGTATCCTGAACATTCTTCGAGCTCCACGCTTTGGATTTGTCAGGCATGGTCGTTGCGCTGTCGCAAAATCGTGAAGTTTTTGTGCTTCGCCGATCGCTCGCCGTGGACCAGGGCCCGCTATCATGACTTCACAATAGCTCATGAGGGCAGGTGCGCTGTGCCGTCATTATCGCCAGGTACCGAAATCGTTAGCACCGAGTCCGATCCGAGAAGGAAATTCTTCTGGACTTTGGAGTGGAGATAAACGTTGAGGCGAAAGAAGATCAATCGGGCCGCACAACGTGTGAAAGACCCACTCTTTCTGCGTGCCACACTCGACGCAAGGTTTAGCTCCCGTGCAAGGTAGAACTTGACATCATTCGAAAGTGCCAGATGTAGATACCGAGACGTCGTGATTTTCACTCCAGATCTGTCTCTATTTTCGATATGGTCATGCCTAAAGCAGCTCGTACCACTGCCGAAGGCAACACAGGCCGTGATAGTCCGACTAGTTCCTTATGCGGTGAGTGAGTGTGAGTACTTGTTGTAATCGTTCTGAAACGTGCAAGCAATCGAGGCTCCGGTGAATGCCGCATCTTCTCTGGTGACTCGTTCTTGGATTGGTCCAAACTGTGTCCATGCAGAAGGAGGCATTGCTGGACTGAGGCCATACTCCATAGTATTGATTTGCGTTGAATATAGATACAGACTGCTCCCGCGTCCTGAGGATTGTAGCCCAATTGAGGTTCCAACAAGATAAAATCACCATGGGAAGGCCGTATTGCCGCAACTTGTCCGCTGTTGATGGTCTAGAACAGAATGCTGCCGTCGCAACATCCCACAATCGAGCCAAGCTGAACCGAGTCGCCTGCGGCCAGCCACCAAAATGTGACCAGCAACGCAGAAGGAGAAAAGATCCAGGTTACCGGGGTTTTTTTTTTCAGTGTTGTAGACCACAGACGAGGTCGAAGCCGACTTCATTTCGACTCTCTGCGAAAGATCGATGCCGTGCGAGGTTTGTAGTTCATCCCAAAATTCTGTTTTGTAGATTTCCGAGGTATGGGGTGACATGCGGAGAGGTCGATGCTGTTTGGCGTTGGCGAGGAAGTCCCCACAGGCAATGGCGGACTTACGAGGGTGGTGAGTGTATAAGTCACAACTGCTGATTCACTCGAGAATGCTTGAGATCCACTTGATGCCTTTTTTCAGGGCGATAGCGATCTCATCGTCCTCCTGCCAGCAAAATTTGAGCTGGTAGAGGTCGACATTGGGTGGCTTTGCGCCAGTCGACGTTATCCTTGCAAGGATATCGCGCTCCTGGTCGAACAAGATGACCTTCAGCACGCTCTCATCGGAGATGAGCTTGCAAAGCGTTGACCATTCTGACTTCGATACACCTCGGGTCGCGAGGATGGGAACGTTGTTTTCGTACTGGCAGACGATGGGCATCTCGACAACAACGCCGCGTTGAGCGGAAATCAGGTGGAGCTTTAGCTTGCGCTCTCCGAATCCGTGTGTGGAGCCGTAGAGTGCCTGCCATAGTCCCTTGTAGTGGGAGAGGCGCATGTGGGCGACCAATTCGGTGGTCATGATGGGCAGAGATTCGATAATGGAACAAATGTAAGTTGCTGGAAGTCTGCAGGTGAGTGCTTGCGACTTAAGTCTCGTCTTATCTACAGCAATATCTCCTACCACCTGACCTGGTGACGATATCTCCCCCATTAAGAGGCTCGACTCCCGATCTGCTAGGTAAATTGGTATTACGGTCTAGCGTGATGAAGTCTTGGTGTTGGGCAATTGACCGCTATTCCAGGGTAAGTGGGTCCCGGCACATTTCTCATTGGAGAATCGATCGATCGTCAGGTACGACAGTGTCCATGAACTTGCTTTGAAGACGGCGTTGTCAACAGCAACACGCTGGCGGCAACTGCGCATATGCTGCGGCTACAAACGCATGAAGCAAGTCAAGCGGAAAGAGAATTTGCACCAACCAGATCTACCGTTCAACGACTTCGGCAGACATCATGATAAAGCGTGACGCTGTTCGTGAGGCTGGTGCTCGAGGCTCTGGGCCTTCAACGTGGCCAACGTGCCTCACGGATCGGAAACGCGAAAGTGACACGTCTGTGCCTTTGTCAGCACCGGTCGGACACCAACGTGTGCTGTTTGGGTGTCCGAAATAGCCCATCGAGATAATATTACGGGTACCAGCGACCGAGGCAGAGGCGGCTGCTGACATGGAGGAGTAGAGTGGAGGTGGGGAGACGTGGCAGAGGGTGAGACGGACACTTGCGCGCTATCCCGATAGAGGCTAGCTCTTGACTTCGGACCACGTGACCAATCCTCTCCGTCGATGTCCTGATTCCTCGATGTCCGCAGACGCCTTGCGAGCAAAATTCCTTATGGCAGCCCATTGTTCGCACACCTGCCGAACAAATGGAGGCAGATGATGTTCTGTCAGGCTCAGGCGCTCTCCATTGCCCGAACGGGCACACACAGCATGCCACCCCACATCTGCCTCGAGTTTGTGCAACGAGCTTCGTCCTTCAGCACTCACCGGCGAACGCTCCTCGCAGCGTCGATGCGCGCACGACGCAAGCGCAAGACGCGACGAAAGGCTGAATTATCCCCTCAGCTGAAGGGTGCACGGTGACGTGGCGCTTTCTGGCCCCCAGAATATGCAGCGATACTCCGCCTCCATGCAGAGCCGCAGGCGCCTGAAAAGTCGTTCCACCCGCGAACGGTTCGCTCCATCCCTCCCGGTTCCGAGCTTTTGCACTGTTGGTGAAGCTCCTGCGAGACGAAAGCTATCGCAAGCAACGCTTCCCTTTCATTGACCGACCCGTGCTCTTCGGCCCCTTCGGGATTTTGCTGAAATGGCGCCGACACTTGAAAAGCTGAAGCGTATTACGAGAGAATTCTCGCGGAATGGCAAGAATCCAGCGTACCCAAGTAAACAGAGTGCTACCCCAAGCCTTCAATCAGGCTCGACGCCACCAGAGCCCGAACTTGTCGGAGGATGGCTGTGTGCTGAAGGTAGGGTATCAGTATTGCTGTAGCCGAGCATCGCTCATCGTCCTGTAGGTTCTTATCGAAAATACATCGAGGCCCTCAGCAAAACCAATCCTGGCCTGACGACTGCGGATCCAAACAACGTGGACAATCCGTTGGGTTCTGGAAATGCGACAGTCGTGTTGTTGGAGGCACCTGCGGGTGGTCGACCGAACTTCATATCCAAGAAATTCGACAACTGCACACAACTCCAAGAACATTTTGGTACTGAACCACGTCGCTCAGGGTGTCGAAGGATATACATCATGGAGGGCTTGGCTCGCGACTACGTGGCAACGATAGGTGGTCACTTTTACATGGAACCTACGTTCTGGCTGCGGCAAGAGAGGACGTGCGTCTGGAGCACTGACTTCACGCCTGTCAGCGACGCACTATCCCAGCCAAGCCTGTTGAATCCCGAGAGAAGCTTCCACGTGCAGTACTGCGAGTTGAGGGAATTCAACAAGGCAGTGGAGTCTCGTCCCTTCTTCTGCAAACGGACCGGGAGACATGTGGGAATGACTGCTCCACGTCAGGGCGCCGACACCACCACAGTCATCCTGCGACGTAAAGTCAGCTGGTGGAGTGCTGATCGTAGTGAGGATGACAAAGGATGGGACGGTAGGGCTTTTCACGTCTAAATATGATACACGCACTGACACCACCACAGTCGTCATTCTCTGTGACCCCCAGCTCGACAAGCTTAAGCCTGACCCTAAGGAATATATCATACCACAAAATAAAGGCCCACATCACCCGAAACCGCCAAGTGAGAAGCCATGCGCGACTGAGAAATTGGAGGACAAGGACAAACTATGCAATACCCCGTTCCAAGGAGGATACATTGACTTCGTTCCCCCCGCTCCTGTCGTTGATGGTCAAATTCCGAAAATGTCGCAGCATCCGCATCACTCCATGCTTCGTGATCTTGTGTACTATCACGAGACGAATGCCCACAGGTTAGAGGAGGACAAGGAATGGGAGAAGCCGGTCACGTCGGCTTTCTTCTTGAAGAAGATTGTCGCTGCGCACGAGCTGCAGCTCACCGACTACATCAAGTCCGTCCTGCCCTCACTCGAACTCAAGCTCACAACGGGCTGGGTTGAGGAGAAGGAGCAGTGGAAGGGTCTCCAGACCATATCTCGACGTTGCGGAAACTACCGCGATGACATTGAAGACACACTCTTGAGCCTCGGCTTTCCACTCGACGTCCCCAGAGAATTCAAGCGACGTACCTGGGAGAATTGCGAGATTGATTACCAATATGCCTACTTCCGGATGAAGACGTTGAAGGAACGAGCCGACAACCTCATGACATCCATGACTGGTCTCGCCAGCATCGCAGGCAACCACCAAAATCTCGAGGAAGCTAAACGCCTCAAGCGTCTAAACTTGCTAGCTCTGTTGTTCATCCCCCTAGCGTACACGAGTAGCTTGTTCAGCATGCAAGATGAATACGCGCCAAACAAGCCGCAGTTCTGGGTGTACTGGGTCTGTGCCTTGGGCGTGGTCATGTTCACGTCTGTGGTTACCTGGGTGCTTGATCGAGCACTCAATGATGCAGCAGAATGGTCGTTGGCGAATTTCAAGATCTGGTTTCCATGGGGCAAGAACGACTCCCAGACAAGACTCAACAAGACAAAAACTGGTATTTGGGGGCCAACCAGAAGAGAGACAAGATGAACGCTCGAGCATGAAACAATGACTCCTTATAACGGTTCGCAGCATTGACTCGGGCATCGTATGCGCATAACATTTCCTCGATCATCGTAGCGTTAAATTGCATCCTACACACGGCATGCCTACCCGCCTATCACGCTGCATATGTTTTGCATTAAGTCTTGTTGTATAGAGTACTGAACGATGAATGCCACTGCTCCAGTATTTCTGCTAAGAATTCTGTATGGTGGCATTCGTAGAAGAGCCTGCACACCTCGATCGATCAGGCTAGTAGGTACGCGAAGCACAGCCACTTGCTTGATAAGCACATCTCCCTCAAGGAAAGCACAGCGTTTTGACGACGACTCAGCCCTTTCCCATAGCCAAGCTGCCATCAATCGGTGCCGCCTTCTGTTCGGAACGCGGCAAGACTATTCCAGCCTTCGACGATTGCGACGGCCGTCTGACCCCGCTGCTTGACCATCAAGCCCATCACTGTACAGGAACCCTGCCAGAAAGGCCTGAACTTCAGCAGCCCATGTCAACACAACATGGACACACAACATCATCGTTTGTGTACAAACCCTTGGCGCCAGGCCAGATCCGGCTTATGATTCCGACGGGCGATAAAGATGGTCTGTCGTGGACGATGCAAGTGGTCTATCTGCACGATGGGGTCGATTCCGAGGCACTTTTGTATGTTTGGGCGCCGCGGGACTAGTCTTGCCCGATAATTTGCAATGAGCAGAGGCACTATATTCACCTGAACTTGTACACGGCACTACCCTAGCGCTAGAAGCATCGGAGTTGGACCAGTCTCTCACGACTCTGACGATCAAGCGATATGGATCTGGACCGGGACTCACGCTGCGGAGTCAGCATATTCCTGGCAACCGAACTGAATAGATGCATCGTGTATGGTCCAGGACGACGTAGAAGAGAAAATCGCTCATATTCTGTTAATGAACCATGTCCACTGCAGAGCTAGCACAGTCTGGTGTTGGCTTGGCATCGCCAAAGATCAAGACTCCGTGCAAGACGGTATCGATTTGCTTCCCACTCTTGTACACGCAGTGGACCATGCATCGAGTGGAATCTGCGACCTTGATAGCCAAAGTTTCGACTATGTCCAGAATGCTGGGTCCAGCACTTGGCAAGCGCTGCATCACCTCCTCAGTGACGAATGGTGCCCTCGAGTGTGGATCACCTAAGAGTTTGTGCTAGCCAGCAAAGTCACCTTCCTCTGCGGTCAGCACACGGCGTCGAAAGACTTGATGTACCAAAGTACACATCGTATTTGTAGGCTTACACACGTTTTCCCCAAAGGCAGCGTAGATTCTTTGTAGACACTTTGCATGGAACCATGCTCGCCAATGCCGGGTTGCTGGTAGGAAATCTGCGCCAGGTAGACACGTCGAGCCAGAAAGGGCCACTGAAGCTAGCAAACATCATGCTAGAGCACCAATAACTGTGAAGTGTTTTCCCCGAGGAGATGGGCACGTCACAAAAGCAGCAAGGAGGCACGTATCTCAGGCAGTCTATCTTTCTACCCTCGATCTGCTAAGCCTCTCAAGGTAGCCTAGCATGAGCAAAGAAGCTTGAATCTCTAGCATCCTGTGGGAGGGCCAGAGAGAGGGTCAGAAGTGAACACCCCTGCCGTAAGTCTTCTGCTCTGGACAGTTCGCACTACTTATGAGGGAGCAGAGCAAAATTGAATAGGCGTAGAGTAGGGACGACTTTGTTTGGTAGTGAATGTGTTGGAAGACAAAGAGACTGTGACGCACCACACTCGAAAGACGTGTATTAGCGCGCCGTTCAGGTACTTCGGCATCGAATGGAGGGACTGCAGATGCGCGAATGAACTCGGTATCGAGGGAGGGCATGATCAGGAGCTATGCGATAAGGCCGCGAGTGATTATCAGGGGCAGGAAGGCGGTGGGAGGGGGAGGGGGAGCGTTGGGCGGAACGCTGGGTGAAGTGGACTGTTACGTTGATCTCAAGCGATGAGAAAGCGTCGCGGTTCTACGCGGGATTCTGTTCGCGTTGATGCAGTCACGCGGAGAGTGTTGGCGAGATGGACGCACGAGCTCAGTGAGTGGTTGCACTGACATCCCAGTACTGGATGACGCGACGACAGACACGATGGCGACATGGACTGCAGCTTCACCAAGCGTCAGTGGCACGCCAACTCCAGTCCTGTCCACTGCAAACGCATCGTTTGAAACAGCCAGTGCAAGTACGCTCTAGCAACCTCGTCCGAGCGCAGGCGCACCTCTGGTCGTGGAAGCGTCGGGTACGAATGCCACTGCACCGGACTATGTATTCTTCTCAGCATGTCTTGTAGTCCTTCGTAGAAACCATTGTCGCACATCGTCAGACCATCGTGTCTGTTGTCAACCTGCCGTCCGGACTGTGCCGTGTACCCGCTCATTAGCCCTAATCGATTGGTGAAGCAAAGTCGGAATTCCAAACTATCGACACGACGCCTTTGACTATCCCCGAAATGCCCTGGGCGAGCTGACGCACGCTCTTACGGAAGCATGCTACACCCAACGCAGAGCGCTACAAAGCACTTAACCTAGAGCTTAGTCTCAGATTGACAGCATCGACAGCCCGTCTAACCGGCGGAGCGTGAAACACGCCCTCTTCGCGGCCACCAGAGGCCACGGCATGGACATCCACACGAGCACAGCAGAGCAAGGCCAAGCGTCGGCACGTCGAGCGCCACGATGTCTTGTCGCTGGTGTTGGTGGCTGCGGCTTATCGTGCGGAGCTAGGAAAGGGGCCCCTGGCTGGACCAACGACACGCAATGCAACGGCAGCGAATAATCTGCGCTGAAACGTGAGAGACGTGACCCCCACCGCAATAAACATGGGAAATAAACGTGTGAGTGGTTTTTACCCGCGAATGTGTATATTGATTATCTTGTTATACTCCTAGAGTCTGCAGATTTTGTTGTCGTTTGCTTGGTAACAGAGTGCGCGTGAGGTGAGGTGCTTGGGATACACATAGGTAGCAGCCACATCACGGCCCGAGGCAAACGCCACTATTTCTACGAGCAACACTGCGAAAGTACGAGCGAAGCAAACATCAAGATCGGTTCTTGAGTGCGGTACCGCATTGGGCCTGAGCAAGCCTCAATCTCAGCCGAGGACCCTGTGCAAACGCATCGAAAGAGAACACCTGAGGAACCGAGATTGCGTGTATACGAGCACCTGCATGGCACCATCGCTATACCCAAGTCCGTCAGTTTGCCGAATCTTACTCAAACAGAGCAGCCGTGCCGTGCTTATCAGAAGCGAATTTCTCTCTGGATTCTAGAGATCTGAACGTTTATCCTCGACCTGGACGGGCCGCAAACACTCGCACAACCTCTACGAGGCTTTTAGAAGACTCCCACAAGACTTCAAAAGACTCTCATAGGCGTATTCCACCGCCGCCTCGAAGACCAATCCCAACCCGTCACCGTCGACCATCCACCATCGACTATCGACCATCCACCATCGGCTATCGACCATCCACCATCGACTATCGACCATCCACCATCGGCTATCGACCATCCACCATCGACTATCGACCATCCACCATCCAACATCACCATCCAACATCACCACCCCTTACCCACTCAAGTCGAACAAATCACCACCTCTACCCCACCATGTCGACAAGCGCAAGCACAATCGCAGTCAGCGTGTTCGAGCTGGTAGCGTTCGTAGGCATGATGGCCATGCTGTTCAGCAATCTGGGCCACGGGGGGTTCAATCCAGGGGCGGCTGGGCAGTGAGAGGATTCGATTGCATGCCGACGGAGGGGTGAGACGGGGAGCACATGGGTGAACTTGGGGCAAAATCGGGCGCTTTAGGGGGGGAAATGGGTGTGAATGTGGGTTTTACTATTGTTTACAGCGGCGCTGGGCAGCGTGTGTGATTTTCTTGATTTGTTTGGTTCGTTCCTGGAAATGCTGTGAGATGACGCCTGCCTTATTCCCCACCCCGACGGCGCAATGCAAGATAGATGCCCACCATGGTGTCAAGCCCACCTGCGAGCTATGCAGCCAGTGCAGTCGCGACCTCGGCTGTGGATGCCATACTGCCGTCCACTATGGCCGAGTCAGGCACCTTGATCCTCTTGGCGTCAGGCTCGTCCCGGTCCGTCTCGTGCTTTGCCTCGCCCTGGTCGGCGCTCTGCTCCTTCTCGCCCTGGTCGGCGCCCTGCTGCAGACTGTCCTTGACCCGCTGACGCTTCTGCGCGGGCGTCAGCTGCGCGTTCGGGATGCCGAGGTGTTGGTCCACGACACGGGCCTTCTCGAGCAAGTCGCCCTCAGCGTCCAGCCCCAGCGCCCTGATGACGTCGGTGTAGCACTTGCTCTGGTTCATCCTCTTGTACGCGTCCTCGCGGCCCGGGATCATCTGGCCGAGCAGGTATTTCGTGTTACCCCAGCGGTTCTCGACCTGGAGGGCGAGCTGCATGTACTCGGCGACGACCGTTTTCCACTGCGACTTCCACTCGTGCGGGCCGCCCTCTGCGTCCGGGCGGAAGCATGACGGGTTCTTCTCGGCCTCGGTCGCGATCATGGCGCCGTCGACGCTGAACTCGCGCATGAGCTGCAGCGCCTCGGCGCGCGAGGTCACGTCGCCGTTCATGACGCAGGCGACGCCGGCGGTGCGGCATATATCGCCGACCATGCGCAGCTGGTCGCGGATGGCGCGCTCGCGGGGCCGCATGGGCGTGGTCCGGCAGTGCACCGTGAGTCCCGTGATGCCCGTCTTCACCAGGCGGGAGACAAGCGCGCGCGTGTCGGCTGGGTCCTCGAGGATGCGGATCTTGACGCTGATGCCGATCTCGTAGGGCTTGCCGACGTGCTCGACCAGGCTCGTCAGGATGTCGACGAGCAGGTCAGGCGTCTTGAGCAGCGCGGCGCCCATGCCGCCGGCCGTGCTGAAGGGCTTGGGACACCCGGAGTTGACGTCGATGCCGGCCACGTCGGCGGCGACCATCTTGGCGGCCTGCACGGCGCGCTCCGGGTTGGCCGTGCCCATCTGGTAGATCAGCCTGCCCTTCTCGAGCTCCGGGTGAATGCGGTAGAGGACCGACTCGCGCCTCTCGGGGTCGAGGTGCGGGTTCTTGAGCTTCGACGTTGGCAGCCGCGACCACTCGAGCGTGTTGGTGTGCGGGTTGAGGCGGCGCGTGGTGCCGATCATGGCGCGGTCAATCGTCTCGGGGCCTGCCATGTCAGCGTCTTCTCTGTTACCCAATTTCCTCGAGTCTCACCCCACACCAGGTCCGCGCCGTACTTCAGCGCAAGCAGCCGCGACGGCAGCTCGCCCGACCGCACCATGGGCGCGAGCACCACGCACCCGCGGAAGTCGACGCCATTCTTCGGGATTGGGACACGTGCGGGCTCGGGGGCGGCCATGGCTCGTGTTATCGTGCGCAGAAGAGGGCGTAGCATAACATGCTCGACGTGGGGAGCGGCGACGACAATCATCCAGTCACTGTTCGGTAGTCCGCAATTGCATTTCTGCCGCGGCCCACCGCTTCCGCATTGGGTATGCATCCACCGCCCCGCAGCTCTGCAGCGCTGGGTCAGCCCTTGATCGTCACCATCCGCGTTGATCATTCAAGCTACTTATAGTGTTGAGGGCACGACAACTGTAAGATCCCGCCGAGTTGCACTCAATTGCTGTTCTGCTACTGCGCTATTAGATCGTGCATTTCCGAAGAGAGGCGCTGAGCCAGATGCCTGAAGCTTGCGTATCCAGCACCTTTCAGCACCGAGGCGAATTTGTAACCAATGCAACGCGTGCGGTCCAAACCCTGCCTTGCAGACGATGGTACGGGCGTCGTTCTGTCAGAGTGCTAGACAGGTCCTCCCTGCCATCGATACCTTTGATGGCATACCAGCTGTCTTCAGTGTCACGTGTTGCCTTTGCATGCACACCGTTGCTCAATGCATTGGGAAGTTGGATCGTTGTACTTGTCTGGTCGTACTCTGTTCATGGCTGTAATCGTGTCGGCGACGCTATCTTACTCGCACGTCGAGAGCATCTTTCTCAGGACGCCCATCAATGTGCCATTTTCTAAAGCAGCAGCGACCCTTTCCTTGTCTCCCAGTTGCTTGTTGACAGCCTCGTCGGTGCTGTGCGTGCCTTTCTTAATGCGTACGTCGATACGGAAGCGGGGAGGCAGGGCCTGTTCGAGCCGAACGCGTACCCCCAAGCCAATGACAGTAGCTAGTGAGCAGTGCGTGATGGTCGGCGTGATCTCAACGACGACCGTGCTTATGGAGGATTGAGGAGAGACAGGGGGCAGGATGTGGATGTCTGGGAGGTTGACCACTGCTAGTGAGCCTAGTGACAGCGGGTGCTCTGGGTCAGCAATGGTGGAGATGAGGTCTATCAAGCCACGATTAGCCTCTGCTACTGTGGACGTTCTGACATGTGACAAATACCATAGATCTCCTGCTCGTCGATGTTCTCAACGTCATCGTCAGAGTCACTGGCCGACACAGGGTCGTCGAAGGGGTCGTTCAAGTAGTTGTAACGTGGTATCAAGTCATCAAACAGACCCGAGCCTCCATCGTCGCGCTTTGCAGCGTTCGATCCGCGGCGGCGTGAGGGCAGGTCAGAGGGGTTCAGGATGGTGGGGTTGGCGTTGTCCTTGTCGAGATCCATGGCGGCTGCAACAGCTCCTGTGCCAAGCTGTATGTTTATGTGTAGGATGCAGGATCACTCTAATAGCAGACTGTTGTTACAGAGTCGTGTGGCTGCATCGAAGGTGCGCCTTTGTCGTCGTGGTTTTTGCGCGAGGAGCCACTGCCAAGGCACCCCACCAGCGTTATTGCTTGAGAGGCTGCAGCTGCACTGCACCGGCAAAGGCAGGCGAGAGATGTACCAAGCGATTAGCAACTCGGCCACCACCGCAACGGCCGACGGCAGCGGGCGAGGTAAACCAGTCATTAATGAGAACGTCAGCAATTTCCCGACAGATTACCCACTGATACAGGGGAACATCAAGGTTTGTGGGGTCGTTGTTCACACCCTCAGGACGTCAAAGCCTGCCTAGCGCTTTCTTCGAGTATCATCAGTACCTCCTGCAAGTCATTCACTGCTTTCGCTTCTCACACCCCAAAGTCTTTTCACGAGCATCCCAGTAAGAGGCTATCCCAATGAGCACACCCACGGCTTACTAGAACGCCGATGTAGCCGACGTAGCCGTGCGCCGTAGGAACAGAATCCCTCCGTATACCTGGAGTAAACTCTGAAGTTCCAAAGGCACGTGCTAAGGTTCACTAAGCTCAGTCTGAGTGTCAGGGTCTACTCTCAGATCTTTCCTTACTTGTTTACTACACCGCTGCATTCACACACTAGTATGTAGGCTGCACTATAAGGTGCATATCTGTCTCAACTATAACCTCTGAAAACTTTTGTAACCCAACAATGTCTGGCTGTTGTGATGCAGAGGTGTAAGTACAAGGGAGACCTTTGGTGTTCCTCACAAGTGGACGACCACATCGCCAAGTCGGCAGCTGCGGGCTTTTCGAAATCCGATGTCCTCTTGTCGGGATATTGGGATGCTCGTTAGCACTTGGCACATTCATGCCGCTCTGCGGTCCTACCTCGCTGGCTTTTCGTAATGGTCAGTAGGAGCCAAGAGCAGGTACAAGTTCCAGACTGTCTGGTGGCCACTTTGAGCGTGAGATGCGCAGCTTGTTGGGGAACAAGTTTTTCATGTCATCTACGACCTTCATCGAGAGGCCAAGGACGCTTACCCTAGCCCGCATGGCTCGCTGGGGTCCTCGATTCGGTAAAGCATCGCACCGGTCAGCGCCCAAGCTCTCCATGCAGCGCACACGTTTGTGACGACAGTTGACAGCTTCTGCCGCTAGATGCATCGAAGCTTGCCCGTGCCTTCCGCGGCAGAATGTGGGACCGCCTTGCAGTTGGAGGGTGCAGCGGTCAGACAACACGACTGTCGACCTGATCTCTGCAACCAGGCTTCCCTGTGCACAATCAGGAACGTGGTCTCGTCGAACAGACCCCTGCCCAAATACCCGGGTCACCGGTGCCAGCAATGTGGTTGGCCGCACACGTGCCGAAGTGTGCATCAAACCCGTCATGTTTTGGGTGCGGGAGCAGCCGATCTGATTCACATTTGTCCTGGGAGGCATCATCCCAGGTCATGCTCACCAGACCAAATATTTCGAGATAAAGAGTCGACGGCGGCATGTCAGCGGGGTGGATTGAGGGCGCCGTTGAGCTCATGGAACAACCTTGTCACTCCAGCCAAGCCATCAAGGCATCTTCTGTACCAAGTCGTTGTCGCCCAACTCTCACCCCTTGGCGGGACACAACGGCTGATCAGCCGCAGCATTTGTTGCACACAACTGCTACCTTTGAGGACAGACCCGGCAGATTGGTACATGAATCATCAGCCTTCGACGAAAACATGAATCGTCAGCCTGCGACAAAGCGTAGCAGATTTCGTTATCTGAAAAAGTAATGCGAAAACACAGTCCCGTGTTCGATTCATGCAACCCCGTCCCCACCCAGTCACGATGTCGCTACCAGATTTGCATTCGCGGAGGCGCACAGCGAGCGCGCGTCGAGAAGACGCTGTGACTTCGAGAAATGTCGTTTATGCAGGCTTCATCGATGGTGAGGCGCCTGCCGTCTGAGCCCTGCATGCCTGGCCGGTTTTTATTCGCCGAGGTAACATCACGAAGGCATTCCAATTCAGCCATGCTTCCGACACAAGTGCAGGCGGGATTAGGTATATTCGTGCCCAACCAGGCGGAAAGCTCTGTCAAGCGTGTCATCGAATCCCAGATCGTGGAGATGTAGCCGACGGATAGTGAGAAGCCGAGCCACGCATCTGTAAGGTAACGTGGATGCCATCAGTATACCCTGCATGGACCTGTGTCAGTGTCGCCTCAGGCTACGAACGTGGTGCACACGGCAAACAGCGCTTCTGCCCCTTTACACATCTGCTTTGTTGATCTTTACAACTCACAAAAGGCTGGGTAAGGCATAGAGATTCGTCATCGAGGCTAGCACCAAGCGAGATGCAATTTCTATGGACAGGCCCACCCTGCCGTTCGCAGTGCTGTCGACCATGGAAGCGTTCAGTACCATGCCATGTGCAGAGATCCACTTTGAAGGCAAATGGCATTGACACCTGAAGAACAATTAAAGTCGTTGGAGGCGCAAGACCACGACTCGGGGGTTCGTAAGCGCCTATCAGAGCAAGGCCCTCCAACCCGCGTGTGTGAGACGTCTAACGGGCGGCTCTGAATTTGCTGTTGCACGATCCAACATGCGCGTCCGCCGCCACATACTGTCTTGGTCTTCCAGACGTACGCACGTTGAAAGAGACAGCTGCTTCAATGTTTTGCACCTAACAGCGCTGCTTCGAGAGTTCTGTGTCTGTGTGCGACAGGCAAGGCCACCAGCTGTCAGACGTTTGCCCTCGGCATCTATAATAGCAGCGACATCCAGCACTCGCGAACCGCAGGTCTTTCCCGTAGACCACTATTCTTCGATACCCACTTTACCAGAACAAGAGAGCCAGCACACCCCTACGGCCCAGCGCCAGACACCCCCACAGCTCCCTAACGGCAGTTCCCAGGTGCTGCGGCACGCTCCTGCAGGTCGCATCCATCGTCCCCTCACGGCGGGGCGTTCGTTTAATCCTCGCCCGCCCGGCCTGTATCTGCCCCTTCAAACACTCGTAGTCTGCACACACAGGCGCCACTGCAGCGTGAACCACGCTGCGAACCTGCTGCCCTCAATTCTCGAACCCCCGGCATGCCAGACGTCGTTCCTGCCTAGGTCCCCTTATGCCTTGATCTACCGTATAAACTAACATTGCCCGGCGTTGCGGAGATTTCGCTCCCGTTGTGGAAGTGTACATTAGCAGCTTTGGACTACCTCACCGCAGCCTTCAGCTGAGCTTTTGGAACCCCTCGATTCTCACTGTCCCCGTCAGTCAGCGGACAGCGGTCCAGATTTCGCGCAGGTCAGACGCGCCCTGTGATTGGCCGGCTACAGCCAGCACCTCGTCTACTTTAGCGGACCGCCGCCAACCCCGCGATCGCAACCACCGACGCCAGCAGCGCTGTTTAATATAACGACGGTATGCCAGAGACGTCAGGACGGCCACTGCTGCCCCAGACGGCACAGATGCAGAGCTTCGCCTTTGCGCCGCCCACGCTGGCGCCGCGTGAGAACCAACGCAGTGAGTTGCGCGCGCGCCGCAACCTGCCGAAGTAGAGGGTCTGACTGACATGGCCGAACAGACTATGTCTTCGTCGACGAGCACAACAGGCACAAACGCCTGAAAGGTGCGGAACACCAATGCAAGACTTGTTGCGCTGCTGACTTGATGTAGTAATGAGAGCATGTGAAGGATGTCGCAGGCGCAAGATCAAATGCGACGCTGCAACCACTAACGCCTGGCCATGTGCCGCGTGCATCCGTCTGAAGCTCAATTGTGTCCCTCCCACTGTCAGCTACGACAAAGACTTCAATGAAAACTCGCAGACCTTCGAGCTGGAACCAAGGCCCGAGGAGTATGCGCCGCCGGGCGCGCCTTCCCAGCACGACTACCAACGCCATGCATCCATGCCACACATCATGCCTCACCAGATGCCACCCAATCTTCCAACGCCGGTTTCCGCGATGTATCAGTCGTCTCCGTATCCCGAACCGCAACCGCAGGAGGCCATGCATTATCCCACTATGTCTCAGTCACAACAGCAAATGAGCTATCCACCTCAGCAGGCGTACTCCCAAGCATCAGCTGCAGCACCAGCGATGGTCATGACCCCACCAGAAACTGAGCCTCACTGGAGGAATGAATCTGTCTCGAGCCTTTCCGATGCCTTAGGTGAACTCAAGATCGATCATACAGCCATTGCGCCTTACATCACCAATCAGAAGAAAGCGCTTGCAGAAACACCAGCACAGGAGGAATACGAAGTACAGCTGCCAGCCTCGGTCAGTTTGGATCACATTGTCCGCATTCCACAAGAGATGATGCCTTCTGAGGAGCAGGCACTGCATTACTTCGATTACTTCTTCACCAACATCCACCCTTACGTACCAGTCGTCAACAAGTCCTACTTCTACCAGCAATGGCACAGTGCGCGCGACTCCATCTCTCCACTTATGCTCGAGGCCATTTTCGCGTGCTCGACAATGATGCTGGGAGATGCCGAGGAGGGTAATAAGTGGTTGGCACTCGCCTCTAGTCAGTCTCCACATCTGTAAAAGTGAGACACGCTTGCTGACTTGGTCCAGAACACGAAGAAAGCTTCAAGGACGTATCTCGACTGAGCACGATGCAGGGAATGGTTCTCCTGGTAAAGGCACGTGAAGGCTCTCCCAAACGTGGTTACTTCTGGCGCTCTTGGATGGCTGTCGTCAGTCTCACCGCCATGGCAAAAGACCTGGAGCTGCACGAGCACTATGACACGCACCAGATGGGCAGATCTTGTGGATCTAGCGCTCACGATTGCATTGCCAAAACAAGAGTGTGGCAGATGTGCCTTGTATACGAAGCCATGATCGGTGGACCCCAAGGTTAGAAGATCAAGTCGATTGCGTGAGACAGACACTGACGAAGCTATAGGACGATACGACTACAGCGTTGAGCTGGACACAGTGGACTTCGATATGCCAAGACCCACACCTGGCCAGGACCCCTCAGAATTCCAGATTTCCCGTCAATTCATCCAGTACATTCGAATCGCAAGGAACGTCTACCTTTCAGCTTTAATGTATGGCAAGCTACGAAAGAAGACCACAGACTGGGCTCTAGATCCATCTTTTGTTGCGCACAACGCGGATTTTTCGCTCTGGCAGCGAGAACTGCCTGATGACCTCCAGATTTCCTACCCACCAGACAATTCGGCACCTTGGATCCCATCGCATTACATTGCAAACTTGCACAGCTATCAAGCACTCGCTATCGTAATGCATTTCAGACCACAGGTCAATGCAGTAGCGGAATCTTACGATGGCATCTGGAAACAGCACATGATGACATGCTACTCAGCTGCGAAGACTATGTGCAAGCTCCAAGAAGCGATCCTAAAGACGTATGGGATGCCTGGCTTGTTGTGCATGTTACGGGGCATGAGCTTTACAATCTACGCGGTCCTCACCTGCACTATGCTTCACCTGGTAAGCTTCTGAGACAAACCTTCGTTGCCAGTGCTAATCTTCTAGGTTGCCATCACTTGTCCAGACCCAGACATCAACCGCGATGCTCGGGACTTCTTCGTGAGACACATGCGTGTCCTCGAAGCTTGCGCTCCGTCCTGGCCAATGCCTGAGATGCAAGCTCAGGTCAACAGCTTGCGTCAAGCTTTCTCAGCAGACATCTCGAAGCCATTCGAGCTGAAACCCACATTCCCCTTCGGAAGCCCACAAGTGGCGCCTCGATCAAGTCCTTTAAGCAACCAAGGCTCCTACCGACCTCGTCACCCGAGTCATCCTTCGCCGTTAGAACAACCAGGTCAGATCAACTACCATGCCCACCCCATTACTCCACCAACATCGGCGTGCGACCTCGGTTCGAAGACTGACTCCCCTGTAGCTCAGTCGCTGGTCATGATGGCGTCCGGTCAACGTGCGCCTCAGTCAAGTGCGGGTATGCAGATGCAGGAGAATGTGCAATGGAACCCGCAACGCATTTTCGAGTAAGCTTGTGTATAGGTCGATGTCTCAGTCCGCCCACTAATGTGTTGCAGTCAATGGAATGTAGCGTTTGGTACGCCTCCCCCCACCGCGTCCTCCTCGTCTTCCCCGCCGCTAAGACCCCCACCTTCAGGCACGAACTACGATATGCGCCCTCAGGACTCCAACTCGCCAAACTACCAACTATCAAGCGTTTCGCCACAGCAAAGCGCCATCCAAGGAGCACCAGTCCAACTACCTACGACTTCAAGTTATGCCGCTGCGAATCCATCCTACGTCACCCCAACCATGTGGCAAGAGGTTGTTGCTAGCTCTTTCCAGCCCGGGTCCAAGAGAGGATGGGATCAGGGTAGCTCCTCAATGGTCGACCAGTCGATGTACAAGCGTGCACGATGATTTATGAGCAAAAGGCGAAGCGCAATGGGTTGAGCGGGGTCGCGTTCATGCTTGCACATAGAACCATGAACGGATCGCGTTGGCCTTCCTCTCCTACGGTCTTTTCAATGCGGATGGAAGGCTCCTGCGAGTCAGAGATTGACACGCTGGTTGGAATTCATTCACAATTTCGACAGTCAGGCCACGTGTACTCGGTTGCATCGCGCGGTGCTGTCTCTGATCATCATCGACATCAGACAGTTCGACCGTTGAGCATTGGCGGACATATGCGGCCACGAGCCTGCACCTCGTATCTGCTGCACGCCGGCATGTTGTGTGGATACCTCAATACTGCACGATTGAGCGGTACGAAAACCGTTGAAGATTAGCGCAACTGTACAGTATCGATAATTTGCCTTGCAATACAGACAGGGAACGACGAAAATGACGGGCATACGGGACAAGGGTCATCACCATCTGGAATGGTCACTACTGTACATTGTAATGCACGACTACTTCTGGCCGACACAATTGCGGTCTTTTCTTAATCGACCTTCCTCATTCGTACATCGCGTCTCTCAATCTGATTTACGAAATAGCGGCCGCTTCCGACTGCGACAATACCTGATGATCAACTCGAACCTTTATCTGAGCTATGATCTCATGCAGTGGTCTTTGCATCATGTCTCCGTGGGGGGAGTGCCAATGTATCTCCCCTGCACAGGTGATTTACGACCGAGCCACAAACGCGAGCACTACGAGTCTCTCCGGTGGTTTCGAAACAGCAAACAAGTCGCAGTTTGATCCACAGGACGATGCGGCTCTCAACATCTGGAAGCATCATGGCCGGTGGTCACTTCAACGACATCGCTATACAGTGCATGCACAAGCTTTTGCGTTCAAAATCAGTAGTTATACAGATCCTGCAACCGAGCCGCCCTTTCCATCCAACAAGCACATACATGCGTTGCTGTATTACGCACGCTCGCAAGCCACTCGCATCAGGATGACTTAACCAGCCTTCACTAAAAGTGATGGCTCAAGGGCATGTCACCAACAGTCCGGATCGTGTACCGGTATTGCACCAATGAAAAGCCCGCACGTGGGTACGTGGGGCACGCGCTTGATTCTTTGTCCCTTGCGCGACCCTTGTCATCGTCGACGGCAGGCAAAAAATGGCGACGGTGACACACTCCTGTCCTTGACTTAAATGGGCAATGTGTCCAGAAATTCCGCTATGTACATGCAACAGTGCGGGTGAAGGCTTTCGGCGCACCCTGCAATAATGGTCAGGAAACCACGTAATCCGAGCCAGCGGCCTGCAGTCTCTCTACCCACTACCTCCTTCAATTCCACTCATTCAAATTTTGCGCCCGTGCGCGAAGCAGTAGCGAGCACTCTCAGACATGCACAGTCCCCGAGGTACAACCGAGCAGTGCGATTGGCTCGTCGGAGAGATTTGCATGTGAAATGGCGCATGGATGCGCTACGATTCAAGGGACAGCTTCCATGCTGTAGGGTCAACGCACGGGCGTCTTCGTGTAAAGAGCAGCGCTTGTCCGCCCTAGGACTGACGTGAGTGCAGTAGTGCAGCCGTCGCTGCACCAATTCACTGCACTGTAATATGCAGAAGGAAGCAATGAAACGAACTTGTTCGATGCATTGAGTACAAGCCTCAGTGCTGCACCTCCTATCTTAGCATCATCACCTCTGCGGCCTGCCTGAGCCTTGTTGAGCTTGCAAGGCTGATCCAGCCTCGATCATCGACGGTGGTCCTCATATCGGTACCGGGTAAACCGGGAAAGAACACCATCACGGTCCTATACCCTGCACAACGGCAGCCGCACCCTGTCTCACATCATGCGGACGGGCACGCAGGCAGTCAGGGCCGCATAATCCTCCTCGACCTCCAGAACTTCCACGACTGGCCGAGTCATGCAACGCAGCCACCGAGTGATGCTCTTCCTTTTCCTTGATTTGCGGGCGTGGTCGGAGGCAGTTCGAGAGCGTGACCTAGACTGCTCTTGGTCCTTGGATGGTCGTTGAAGTAATGTTTGATCCTTCGGGAAACTTGTTGTATCAAGGGTATGGTGAGGGTGACGAGGCAATATATCGAAGCGTTGCAGAAGGATTTGCTGGGGAGTCGCTCTTGCACCTGTGGCGGCGGTCTGTTTCTCCAGGTTTCATTGCCACTGTGGGTGCGCTGTCAAGCGTTGCCCTGATTGGCATATGGATGTGCAGCCTTATGCTACAGTCCCTCGACTTCTGTTTGGCCTCCCCACAATCCTTACCGACATGTTGGAGCAACAATACCGGTACCTCGCCGTGATTACGGAAATTGACTGACATGACACGACGCAGCTGGCTCATTCACACTGCTATTGCAACCCCATGGTCAAGCACGGCCCACGGAGATGATGGCAAATGCGAAGCAACTTCATCTCATCACGTTACACATCGGCCAACGCACGTTTGCTATCCTGAGGCCATCTGTCTCCACTTTTCGAGACATCGAAGTCTCGACTTGCGGAGCGATGCGGATGTATCAGTCGCAGATGCCAATAGCCTGAAACCTATCTTCTCACACTGCTCGCACAGAATCGTATGATGCGCCCGGTATGCTCGGATATCGATGCGGCGTGATAGAGAAGAAGAAATAGTGGGATCGGGCCGAGTGATATACTACCGGGGGTACTTGCCCGAGCATATCCCTTCTGATTTCAGCTTTGTTGCGAGTCTTTGAAGATATTGTCGTATTGCAACGTTACATTGCTCCATCAAAGGCGGAGCACAATAGCGAAATCATTTTCGCACTCAATGTCAGCTCAATAATCGCGACCGGGCCATCCCGCTGCACCGTTTTAAGTGCTAACACATTGCAAGGTCGTCTACACGCTCATTCTGTGCCGCACACTCCTCGCCATTTCTAACGTCTGCACCTCTACGACCTGTCTATCTCACCCGAAACAAGTGCCTTTGTCGTCGTTGTAATGTCTCTTGTCTTCTTATCTCACCAGAAAAGTTGTCGAGAAGGATCACTATCTCCTTCTCCAAGGCTTGATGCAAATCGCCTGTAAAGCTCCAATTGCACCAACTCGGCGATTCAACATGCGACGTGTTCGGGACTCACTCAAAAAGTCTCACCATCGTTTGATCGATGCATAAATACATACTGTCATACTAAAGCAGCCATATCGCAAATCCTGAACACCTATGATAATTAGTATAACTGGTAAGGGAACCAAGTAAACAACTCCAAAGCTTGTGTCTCTGGGATGCAATCAAGAGCCGTTCTTTTACCAAATGAGCGCAATTCCAGCGTACAAAGCTTTGACGTCACCGTAAGGTCGCGCCCGCCCTCACTTTCACTTCGCCTCGTCTCGCGTAGCTAAACTTGGCGCAATATTTTGCTCAACACCATGCACCCCGTCACTACCAGTGTATCTCCAGCGCACAGCGATATCCACACCCCGCCCAGACAGCATGGCAGCAATACCGCAACTAGCACCAGCTGATGTGCGCCGGGATCCAGAAGCTGCCTGCCGAGCTGCTGGAGGGTGTGCTTCTCGACACCATCAATGACATTGCCTCGCCGATTAGTCGCGATGAGGAGGGCGAAAGCGTCTTTTGCTGGCAGCAAGAGCTAACGGCTGACGCCTCCATTGCAGTGCACGCTCTACGAATTCGACGGATCTCATGGCGGGTTTTCGGCAGAGTCTCGGTGAGACTGTCTTCGATATTGGCTCGAAGCAAAGTGTTGATGAACTCGTTTCTATTGCTTGAGAGGCCTATCTTACGTGGTGGGTTCGAAAACCTACGTCTAGCTGCGACGTCTATACACGGTCTCGCAAGAGAAGGTCTCGAGATGTTCAATCAAATTCAGGAGCTATATAAGTCCTGGCAGCCAGGCATCTTCACAAAGATCTCGCACTTACGATGTAATTCTAAACTGTTCTTTTCCGACACATAGTCAAAGATCCAGTCATATGTCAAGACACTTACCCGCTCACTTCGCGATTTCATCCACGTAGAAGACGTTGCTTACATATGGAACAACGAGGTATTCCCGCAGCGCTATAATGATGATGTGGTGTGCGAACCCTGATGGTTGCGGAAGCAGTATCATTGCCATCAGCGCTGAGGCCTGCGGTCCTCATATCGGTCTGAAAGTTGTTCTTGAGGCTCTAGTGAGAGCTGGCATCAGGCCGCGCACGCTCGACCAGCAGTCACACTCGATCACCCATGACGTTCCATCACTTCCAAACCACGGCAATTCTTCTCTGACCTTTGTGAACGAACTGGGTCACTTACTTTGAGAGATAAGTGATATCCTCGGGCCGACACGTGGAACCAACAGATCGTTGAGCCCAGCGTCATTATCACGAAGACAGAATTTCCGCTTGAGAAGTCGTTGACCATCGGTCACAACAAACTGTAGCTCACAGATCCCGTTTACTTTCCTAAGAAAGATAATATACCGGCAACACAACACCTCACTATCATCGACGGCAATCCAGACAAGGTCCAAGCCAAGTATTTGCTGGAGCAATATGGGAGACACCTGTAAAACTTGGCTCTAATAATTATGGCGCAGATCGTTAATACGACTTCCTGCGTAATATGATTGCCGCTCCGAATCTGGAAACGTTTTTTGTCCGGTGAGGGACAGGCTCTTCAAGCCTTTCACTGGCTACCCTGGACATTGGATCCTGTGGAAAACGAGCATCAACAATGTGGATTTAGCGAAGAAGGGTGTTCTGAAGCCACGTATGTTTCGAGAATGGTGGCAGGACTATCTTGTCTGGCTTGAAGCGCCCGGTGATACTCTTGGTCCCTCAGAGGTGTCCTAGTTATGGATCAAATCGGGTTATTACTAATGATTACCTGACCTCATTCGGCATCAAGTTTGACATGCAATCAGGTAAATGAACAGAAATCGCGGAGGAGACTAGCACACTGTCCAACGATTTACCTGTACCCCACTTCCATATGGCTTCTTGCTCTAATACCACTTCTCTCTCGTATCCTCTTGATCGTGACTTTCGCCTTCGCGACCACCTCGTTCTCCTTAATGCCTAAAAGATCGCCTTGACTGACTAGCACTCTCCCATCGACCATGACATACTCCACCTCATTGCCTGAGCAATTGATCAAAGTTGTAACCGGATCAACTCCGCCCTCTAGCACTTGCTCAGGATCCCAAGGCGCACTACCAACGCCCTTGAGCGCAACAATAACGATGTCCGCCTTTTTGCCTACCTCCAAGCTGCCAATCTGATCTTCCAACCCCAACGCCCGCGCACCATTGATTGTCGCCATCTCAAGCACCTGATACGCCGTAATAATACCCGCGTGTTCGCGGACACCTCCATGCAGGATAGACGCCAGATGCATCTCCCGAAACATGTCGTAGGTGTTGTTGCACGGCGCGCCATCAGTGCCTAGAGCCACATTGACGCCGGCAACGAGCATGTCGGGAATCGGCGCGACTCCCGAGCCGAGCTTGAGATTGCTCGTTGGATTGTGCGACACAGTGCTTTGAGTATCGCGGAGGATGTCGAAGTCGCCTTCTGCTGGATCTGGATGTACGCAATGTGCAAAGACGCTCTTAGGTCCTGTGAGATTGGTAGTCTGACAGAACTGGAAGGGGCTGCAGTTGTACGAGTTTCGATATATGGCGAGATCCTTGGGTGCTTCGGCGCAGTGCATGGTAAGGCCGATGTTGTGCGCTCTTGCTGCCTCGCCTATTGCGGCATGTGCAGACATCGGCGAGCCACGTGGCGTGCCTGCTGAGAGCCACATGTGCAGACGATCTTCGCAAGACCCATGATGGGTTTCATGGGCTTGTAGTGCAGTTTCGATGGACATGGACTCTACATCGCGGTCTCTTAGATCTCTCATGTTCAGGTCCGGGTTTGTTTCGACAGCTTTGACTAGTTTGCCCTACGATAAGTCAGCATTGATCAGTGAAAAAAAGACGATCAGACTCACCAGACATGCTCGTATCCCTGTCTCCTGAACAGCCCTGACGACGTTGTCGAGTCCACTACGATGCGTCAACATAGCTTCGAGGAAGCATGTAGTTCCGGTCTTTAGCATCTCCGCTATTGTGAGCACCGAAGCTGTGTGACCATCTTGCTCAGCGTAGTTAGCTTCCAGCGGCCAAATGGCGTCGCAGAGCCAGCTGTGTAATGGAAGGTCCTCTGCTAAGCCTCGAAGTAAAGACTGCGCAAGGTGGGCATGTGTGTTGATTAAGCCGGGAATGATGATCTTGTTCGTGCAATCAATGATTTCAGTCGTTTCGTCTGTGTCTGAAGTGAGGACATCGGTCTTGTCAATTGCGGTGATGCGATTGTTTCGGACGAGAAGTGCCCCGTCCAGGATAATCTCTCGAGCTCTGTTGACGGTGATGATGGTTGCATGGATGAACAATCGCGAGCTACCACCGTTACAAGTTTCCTGAAGCATCGCAACTTCCTCGCTTGAGTGAGATATTTCTGCTCTGAGCTTGAAAGTGCTGGTGCTCGCCGAAGGTGGTCGATGCCGAGGGACAGGTACTTAAGCTGTGCACCAGCAGATCTGAAGGAAGCTATCTTGACTTTGTTGCCTCGCAGAATCAATCTGTGTCTACGACCACTCTGCTCAAATAGCCTCCAAGGGTGGTGTGGATCGGCGGCGGATTGAGAAGGAACTAGTGGAAGCACTATCCCTGCCCGGCCGAGATCGCGGATGAGCCCTCCAGTCGCCTATCGCCTGTTATCACGTACATATCCGTTCATCGTGAATCGCTAGAATGGGGGAATGTGCAGATACGCACGAAGGCTTTTGACCTCACTATCGCATTGCCCTGTACCCAAGCGCCGCTGAACGCCTATCTCGAGATAGGCGGGGAAGATGGGTACGTGCATCGTAGGACTACCCTGTGCTGCTTGTCATGGTGATCAATATATAGTTCTGTGCACAAGATTCTTGCCCCAAACTTAGTTGCAATCGCAACGGCAAGATGGACAACAAATCCCCAGAAGACACGAACTCGCGATCCATCAGCCAGGTGGAAGGCGTGGTTTTGACTCAATGGAAGAACACATTTGCGGAGCTGAGGTACATGCTCACAACCAAGGACGGATGGATAGGAGACTACGTACGTTTCTTGCCATCTATCTTTCTATTATGGATGCTGACAAGCCCAGGACTACCTGTATCTGGTGACACCGAACATCTGGCCATTGAACCGGAGATACAAAGACTACAAGACTCCATTTTATGGGCTCCACGACCGGGTACCATTGTTGTTGACGCTCCTTCTCGGCCTGCAACACGCGCTCTGCATGATCGGTTCGATAGTATCACCGCCTCTCGCGATAGCCTCTGGGGCGTTTCATTTCGAATCCGAAATGACAGAATACTTGGTATCGACCGCTTTTATCATCACGGGTCTTGCGACTGCGCTACAGGTGACTCGGCTGCACATCACCAAGACACCGTTCTTCATCGGCACTGGGCTCTTGAGCGTGGTAGGACCGACTTTCGACATCTTGCCTATCGTCTTCAATTACGCAGCACTGCGTTACAAGTCGGGCACTTGTCCAGTTGGCGAAGATGGCACAGAAGTTGCCTGCCCTCAAGCCTGGGGCGCCGTGCTCGGCACCATGCTTTGCTGTGTTTGGATACAAGTCGCCATGGCTTTCGTGCCTCCAAAGATTCTCAACAAAGTTTTCCCGAAACTCATCACTGGATCCCTGCTGACCCTGATCGGTGTCTACCTGGTCGGCAACGGCCTTCAAAATTGGGGTGGTTCCTCGAACTGCCATAGCGGAGAAGGTTTCTACGCGCTATGCCCAGATATTTCTGCACCAAAGCCGCTTGCATGGGGTCATCCAAAATTGATTGGTCTAGGCTTCAGCGTCTTTGCGACCATCGTCTTGGTGGAGGCAGTCGGGGCGCCATTGATGCGATCTGCTGCTGTGATCGTTGGCCTCGCTGTTGGATGCGCGATATCAGGTGCGCTCGGATACTGGTCAACTGATCAGCTCGCAGCTGCTCCCAGCGGTACTTTCCTCTGGGTGCATACTTTCGACCTGTCCGTCGATGGCACGCTGGTATTACCACTAATCATCATGTTTGCCTGTCAAGCCATATCATGCATTCCAGATCTATTGGCAACAGCAGAGCTATCTGCTGTAGACATTGAGGGTGCCGATTTCAGCAGCCGAATCCAAGGTGGCATATTGTGTGACGGTCTCGGCAGTTTCTTCAGCGCACTCGCCACTGGGCCTCCCATGGTTTCGCAGGCAGGTAACAACGGAGTCATCGTTCTTACTGGCTGTGCGTCTCGCCGGGCGGGCTGGGCAGCCAGTGGCTTCTTGATCCTGATGGGAGTGATTGCCAAGTTCGGGGCCATCTTCGCTTCCATGCCTCCTTCTGTCTTGGGAGGGATGCAGGTGTTCCTATATTCCACTATCGCTGTGGCTGGTGTACGCGTGCTGGCCTTGGTCAATTGGTCTCGCCGCGACAGGTTCATCCTCACTGTGGCGCTCGGAATCGGATTTATGGACATCTGCCAGCCAGATTGGTTCTCCTCGATTTTGACTTATGATGGACCCAACCAAAGTCTTGTCGGCCTCGAGCAGGGTATCAACCTTGCTGTTGAGACACCGTTTGTGATATCAGCCATAGTTGGCGTGTTTCTGAACAGTGTATTGCCTAGAGACAAGGCTTCCGGCCCGACTGGTGGATATGGTGATGATGTCAGACATCCCGTTATTGGTGTACGTCAAAATTAAACCTGTGTAAATAGACAAAACGCAATGGTGGAAAAGCCCAGCTGCATCTCATGGTGAGAACCGGATTGTATCTTAGAACTGGAAGGATAGGAGATCGTCGAACAGACCTTGAGTCCCGAGTGTGATGTCGATTGGATATAGGCAAGGGTTCTCGTCCCAAGCGCTACTCTCTTGGGTCATATCGAGGGAATCCACAGTGTGGGCTATGAGAGTGACTGCCGGCTGTGAAACAGCTACCCTGGAAGTTCTCGACGTGTCATGCAACGTGCGTGCCTGCTTTGTAGGCCGGACGAGATTGGTCCTTGCATCATCGTGGCGTCTCTTCCCCAGACCACCAAAAGAACCTTGTTGGAGTTCTTTCTGCAGGGTTGAGAGAAGTTGTGCACCACGAGAAGCGATCTTACTGGCCTTAAAGCTTCTCAGATAGCCAATCGTTCTTTCTATCAGGGTTTCGTGGCGATCGAGATCGTCCAAATCGGGTTCGCGATGGGCAATATCAAGGCATAGCACGATTCCGGCCGCAACAGAGAACGCTTGCTCGATCCAAAGGATCGGCCCATTCTGGTCGTTCGCTGACAAAGCCTCTTTCAGAATTGTCTTCGCAGCAGCCACGCATGTTCGACGTGTGAAGGAGAACGCCGTGTTCGTAAACGACAGACCAAGGAACCTGCGATGAATCATGATGATCTTGTGCGCCGCGCAAATAGCCAACGATCGTCGAGCCCAACCAATCCACACTGGCCAGTCAGCGTTGATCGTTGCACTGGTCGACAAAAATGTTGGCATAGATGCAGTCGCAAGCTTTCGCATCTTCTCATCGTACTTCAGTACTTGCTCGTATTTTGTAAACAACGTGTTACACTCCGAGGTTGCATCGAGCAACCGCGGCATGAGAGCCGCGACCTTATACCGATAGTTACAGTAGCTCGTTTGCGTTGGAACAGCTTCGGGCAGGCGCTGAAGACCGTGATCATTGCAATTAGTAGGCTTGTCGGTCTTGATGAAGCGTGGATTCAGGGAATAGGACTCAGAGAACGGTATCTGGAACCAGTCCTGCGTGCAAAGCTGGTCAAATACATGTCGACCAGCTTCCCTTCGCCGCAGTTGCTCCGCGGGAATATTTGTCTCTCCGCTTAGGCGATGCAGACCAAGACTTTGCGCTATGCGTCCTGCCGAAGATAAGAGGATCGACTGGCTGTTTGACTTGCCCAATATATGTGCAGCGATTGTCAAAGTGGAAATGGCTTCGACCGAATTTATAGTATGCCTTTCGATATAAAGACCGGTGTTGAGACACGAGACGCACGCTTCGTACCACTGCAGAGCCAACTTAGAGCTTTCAGTGTCTCCGAAACCCCATGCATGGCGAACTTTGGAGGGTGCACAGGCTAAACTGCCCGTCAGGATTGCAAAAAGAAGTGCCAACCATTGCATATCTAGGTCGGGGTTTCGGATATCTCCAGAGTAGCTGTCCAGGAACTTCTCCACGTCATTATTGAAGATCCAAGCTGAATACGAGCCGTGATACCATAAAAGATGAGTGCTGTGATACTCGACAAGCTGACGAATTTGTGTTTGATCTGGAAGCAGGATTTCGAGAAGGTCGAAGGTCGCCTGCTTACTGCCATCGAGCAGAGCATTCGATGGCAGAGAAACGTCTCCCTGTATCAAGATTTTCCGGCTCACCTGGTTTGCTGTGCTCCCATACTCGGCATCTTTGTTGCGGCCCCAAGCAAGGAACTCGAGTACTGTCGCGGCATCATCATCCTCGAGCACAGCGGACGCCGGATGCTCGTGAATGGGGCTGTTCATGGGTTCACATGGGTCCGGTTGAGCCAACATTGGTGTAGCAGCTCGATTGTCATGACCCTGCGATCGAGGAGGACACGACAAAACCGGGGGTGATCGAACTGATTCATCAGGCCCAACGTGTTCGGCGTTACTCAACAACTGGGCTTCTAGTTGATTCACGCGGTGCAGTAACGTTCGAATCAGATTATGTGATGTTGTGGAGTTCTCAGAAGCATGCATGATGGATCTTGAGACTGCCTCGTCTTCTTCACGCGTGCAACGATTTGCGTAGCCTCTGTAGTCAAGTCAGTACCTGTTGAGACACAACGCTATGAAGCTTACCTTTTGGTACATGTATTACATGGTATGGTCTTGTCGCATTTGATCTTACGCCGGTAGCATTCCGTGCAGGTTAGACGAAGCCGTTGGCCTTTGGCAGTCGACGCGTCCTCCATGGAGTGGATGTATGTCGCGTGATAGCCTGAGGTCCAGTCCACTTTCAGAGGTGTAGAGAATGCTTCCACGTGACGAAAGCCACCGCGAAGATCTACTCGGAGGCGTGAATGGATGCAACGACATTGTGATGGGCACTTGTTGATGGTTGAAGGCAAGAAGGGGCGCGGCCGAGATAGCGGAAGAAAGCGGAGGCCTCGGCCGCCCCTTGTCGATGTTTATCTCGCGCTATTGTGCCTTCTCCACCATTCTGCCTGGCGCAGCAACAAACATCACAGTTGCTGTTCGGCCCACCATGTATGTCAGCGCAGAGTAAATCTCTGCCTGGCGGACATAAACATGCTCGGCCGCTTGCTGCGGTGCTCGTCTTGGCGAATTTGGTAGCCTTTCACTTGCATCGCAGTTGCACTTGGAACAGCAGTCACGACAAGACCGTATATAAGGCCGAGTACGTACGCGAGCCAACATTTACAACATCGAACTTGCAGTTAATACTCCTCCAGTAGCGCGACTTGCTAGCCTGACCTCAAAGCTCTTGCAATGGCACCTACCAATTACGTCGACCGCCCTGTGCCCACCGTTTCCCTGGAGGACTTCGACAACCGCATCGATACCATCACCAGGGAGCTAGTTGATGCAGCAGAGAATATTGGCTTCTTCTGCGTCGTTGATCATGGGATCTCACGCGAGTCTATTGACCAAATTTTCGATCAATCCGCTCGCTTCTTCAAACAGGGTGAAAGCATCAAAGCACAAGTTCCTTTCTCACCTCGCCATAACGCTGGGTGGGAGAAGAACTCTCAAGTCCGGCCGTCAACTGGTGTAGCTGATCGCAAGGAGTCCTACCAGATGCAATTCGGGAAGGGCATGGAAGGCAAGTACCCATGCGCGTGGCACCATAACACATCACTGACAAGTAGTTAGGTCGCTGGCTTGGGGATGAGACGTTGCCAGGGTTTCGAACGGAGGCTCTCAGCTTCATGCAGCAGGCACAATCTGTCAGCGAGAAGCTAATGATTTGTCTCGCGCGGGGGCTCGGTTTCGACGATGATTACTTTATCAGGGCACACGATGTCACTCGTCCAGAGTCTCAGACAGTATGTCGACTGTTACACTACTTCGAAACACCAGAGTTACCAAACCCTACCGGCGAGATGTATCACAGAGCTGGAGCGCATGCAGATTGGGACCTGTTGACTCTGCTGTTCCAGAAGGCTGGCCAGTCTGGCTTGGAGATTTGCCCCGGTCGTGAGGTGTCTACGTCATTCGGCTATGGAGATGCTTGGACAAAGGTGGAGCCAGACAGTGAGAGAAATGCGATTAGTAAGTGCAGATGGTCACATGACCGACCTTTTGCTGATACTTGAAAGTCTGTAACGTGGGCGATCTGCTCATGTCGTGGTCGGACGATCGCTTCAAGTCCACATTCCACCGCGTGAAGGCGCCCTGTGAACACGGCGACTACTATGGCGAGCGCTACAGCATTGCCTTCTTCAATCAGCCGTGCCGAGATGCGCAGATCCAAGGCCCATTGAAGAAGTATCCCTTGGTCACCGGTGAAGAGTTTACAAGAAACGCAATGAGCCGTAATTTCAAGAGCCTCCAGGACAAGCTCCGAAGCGAGCAGGTGGCGAAAGCTAGATCAGAGACGCCCGTCACGTTGCAGCTGAGCGCGACAGCATAGCCAAAGAATGAGAAACGGAGAACCTAACTTCTGATAGCAACTCGGTCTTCTCAACTCTATCACTGATCAAAGCACGGAAGCGTCGCATATTAACTTGTTAGGTTCTGCACACGCATCCTATCATTACGAATGACGGTACGCTCTAATACAAGTTCATAGATCGACAGATCGGTGCTTCTACAAGGCTACTCTACTTCAGCAGGAAGGTTATGTGCGGAGCCTAGACCAAAGTTGACGTCTTTCATTTTTCACTCTTCCTAGCAATCTCGACTAAGAATACATCTTAACGGCTATCTGAACAGCATCATCGACGTCGAGCCGAGAGCTAGTGGTCACCAACCTGTCCTCCCACTTCAGAGCAACATCAGTGCTGGCAACGACTCTTCATTCAATAATCTGCATGGCCCTATGAGTGACATTATATTTTCCATCGACGAGTTCGCGAAATCACCGCACCAACTCTTGCGGGCCAACGTCTTGAGGGCGCTTAGTACGACGCACCCCGGAAGCAATCCGGCCAAGCTAAAGACATCAAGTATACCCATCACGCTGCAGCTGAGCGGAACAACTTGATTTGTGAATGAGACTAACAATGCATATCCCACCTTTGTAAATAATATAAATGAAATTGATTCACTAGCTTGTTGTGATATAACGCACAGGCTATGGTTCTAGTAAGCGCTGTGATCGTGTTCGCTCGTGGTTGGACGAGAGCAGGCGCGACACCCACGCAAAGCACACTATCTGTGCTTTGGGAACATGAAACCCCCCCTAGCGTCGAGCATTTGACTGTACCTTGACGTATGGATATTCATCGAAGTTGTTCATCGGCCCTAAATCCCGAGAACCCATTCCATGACTGCGCATGAGCCAACTTCGGTTGCGGAGTCCTTGCAAGTCAACACACAGAATACAGGAGACCAAGACAGTTCAAGCGCCCGCGCGTAGCATAGCACGTCTCTGGCCAGTAAAGACTAGTCTAGTCTATTGGTCGAGCTTAATTCAACTACAGCATGAAATCAAAGGCAGCAGTTTCACCGCGAAACGATTTACCGCAGAATAGAACGACGATACACCCCTCATGTTCGAGGAAGAAGAGTTCAAGGAAAGCAAAGAAGTACTACACAAGGAATAAGTACTTCGTGAAATCTGCATGTTTCAAAGGAAATCGAGTGCCCGAGCAGGCACAAAAAGAACGTAATCCCTAACATGATGATCGAACATATTCTGACATCAAACACAGAAAGTTGGTACGCAATCATCTTACGCGATTTCCGCATCATCGAGTCCTTGATGCAGACGAGCTCAACTTAGGATGGGATCGACGTTTATGTGCATGGACTGCGTCGCTGCGCTTGAACGATCGGTCACAACCAGCGACATCGCAGTGGTACACCTCAGTGCTATGCACAGTCTGCTTATGGCGCTTCAGATTACGCGTCCGAAAGTCGCCAGTGAAGGAGTATCCACAATCCGTACACGTGATTGCTAAGCGTGGAATCCTAACGAACATCAGCACAGTTTTAACATAACTAGGACAGCTCACCTACGTTGACCTTTTGTCAGGTGCTGCTGCTTCTCCCTCTACTGAAGTCCTAACTGGTACTGATTGACTTGACAGCGACTGGGCCTCTATTATCGGCTGCTGAGACCAAGATAAGGTCTCGCAAGGGTCAGCATACTGATCATAAAATGCTGATGCTTGTACCTGATGTTGATATTCGTCGAGAAATACGTCGTAAGGATTATCTGTAAGTCCAGAGCAATACTCAAAGTCGCCAAGGAAGCTGTTGCGGGCCGAAAGGAGACTGGCAGCCGAGGTGTTATCAACGAAAGACGGTCCAGACCAGTTGGCGGTAAGGAAGCTGAGCTCAGAAATCCCGTTGTACTGGAACTGACTGCAGTCCATAGGTACTTCTGGTATCTTTGCAGTCGATTGATGTAGGGGGCTCGGTGGAGGCGAGACAGGCGTGTGCGGCCCCTTAGTTCGCGTCGACTCAGCAGCAAGATCGCATGGCGTCAGCGGTGAGCCTTTGTTGTCCGAAACAGGATCCATTGTCCCAGATAATAGGTCGGATCCGTGAGCGAACTGGTATTCAGCATAGCATATTCTTTCCGGCGGTGGGTGAAGACCCCGCGGAGCCTCACTGGATTTGTTGAGAAAGGTTGGTAAGATCTTGTTGTAGCTGCTTATGGTTTCGCCAGTGGTTCTTTGCCGTTTCCTCGGCCTCGATGGTAGACCGCGAGCAAAGTCGGGCAGGTTTCCTTGCCAGGCCCCGGGTGAACTGTCACTAAAGTCGCTCGTCTGAGCGTTCGATGCATCGACGTAGTCGATTTCAGTCCTAGAGGCGTAACACCTCTGAGAATCATCGTCGTTGGCTGCTGACACGGAGCTCGTACCAGCACAGGACTGCCCGAAAGCAGTGGGTCGCGGACGGGTAGACTAGTTCCAAATCAGTGAATCAGTTGATTCCTTACGATGATGAGAGAATTAACAGGTCTTGCAGCCACCTACACCACTTGGGACTCCTTCAGACCCGTATGCTTGCTCCCTCGGCCCGCTGAAGCTAGGCGGCTCGTGGCAATCTCGTGCACGGCCGCCCTGATGAGAGGGTTGTGGATAGGGCATATCGAACATCCAGCTGTTGAAAACGGAATGGAAGTGCGTTTTCCAGGTGGTCCGTTTCGGAGCCCAGATAGTTATTATACGGGCCTCAGGGCATCCTTCAAGATCCTATGGAACTGGTCAGCGCCAACTGGCAAAGTTCGAATCATTCGAATGGAGGTATGACTACGAATCATTAATATCCAGCGAAGCATACGTATGCGCTCAGGAAAAGGCATTGGCTTCAACGGTCAGTGGTCAGTGAGCCCCGCCAGCAGATCCTGCAGAGACCGCCGCCCTCTACTGTTGCCAGCAAACTCATCGATAGCGCGAGAAGAGACGTGGCTACTCGAGACTTGTTATTCTGATTTTCACAGCCCTGCGGCGATCAAGGGGCCGTCAGAAAGCGCGTCAGCAGAGGTGACACGACCTAGGCGGGTTCAATCTGCGTGGATGGCGTCCAGTACACAGCATACTGAAATGCCTCAGCTGACCCATCAGGCAATCATTGCAGAGTATTGGATGCGTGGTACATCTCAATGCCATGCAACAAGTTGCTGACAACGATTCAAGTGCCGCACACCTCTGCAGCCGCATATCGGCTGCAGCTGCTTTTCTTGCTATGTGCGTTGAGGCACGCGTGCGCGCCCTCTCGACACGCATCGGCCACATTGAAGGTTTGGGTCCCGCGGACGCTGCCTCGCGAGATGATGATGGCCTTTTGTCCCTGGCCGGCGAGAATGAGTGTTGAGAAGAAGCATACGAGGGGAGCTGTGCGCTCGAGCTTTCCGGAAGTGCCCCACCTGCCCGCAAATGCCACTCTCAGCGGCAGCGACAACGGTAAACAGGACGGTTCTCGGAATCGCCCACTGTTAGAAATTCTCGCTGGAGCGCTCGTGCGAGTCAGGCCGATTATGTCCCAGACCGGCCGTTGCAGGCATCTTCCCATTTCTCGATGTGTTGAACTTGCAGACAAGGAGGCAGAGTCCTGAAGGACCGCCGACTCCTCGAGGATTGATTGGAGCCACGAAATGGCACGGCCAGACTGGACCAGAGGACTCGAGAAGGCAAAAAGGAAACTGTCAGGGTTCGTTCGCCCAGCGGGTTGAGACAAGCCGTTGGTCCTAGGCGATCGGTCATCCCGCTTCCCCAGGCGAGCTCGACTCAGCCGGCGTTCGTAGCGACAGACAAGGCAAAAGATGAGGCGAACAAAGAGTATGGAAGATGTCCAAAAGACGGCGTGGCACCTGTGTCTATTTTATCAGAGATGGCATTGTTAAATGGTCGGGCACTCATCCAGACTTGGCCCCCCCACAGTACAGGCCTCTGACGCAGGCTTCTGGCGATGATCTCACGTACAGCAACAGTCTCTGACGTTCTAGCCACAGATATCCCAACACGTCACATCGTGAGGCCGCAATACTTTGATGGCTACAGCACAGCCGCCTATTGAATCTATCGCCGTCTCTTATCAATTTTTCTTCCTGGCTTGTCGATACCGAACAAGAATCTAGACGCCTTGTTGGGCTGCGATATTGCTGGAAAATCTGCACAAGCAAAGTTGGTCTGCCTTCGCTCCCTCACTTACACGCACGCGCTATGACCATCAGAGTTCTATTGAACAGAAACAATATCCCGTGCATCACCCAGAGCGAAATTAGAAACAATTGCGATTGCTCTGGTAATTAGCTTGTCGAGAGCCTTCGTCATCTTGAAAGTGGCTATCGATGGACAGGGTTTAGTGACAGAGCATACAAGACGCCTGCGTTTTGAGGCTGCAACATTTGCAGCAGATATCGAAATTGATCAGGTCCTCACGGCTCATAGTGTAAGCGAAACTCTCATGGGTAAGAGGGCAGGGTGTATTTGCAGCTTCTGCTGGTGAGCTTCAAGCTCCAGCGCATGAAGTTGGCAGGGCTTTTCCTGGTTCGTGGAGCCGCCTGTGGTGATTTGTCAATGAATATCACAATGGTGGGAAGAGTATGCCTCACGCCAATATCTGGGATAGCTCCATTTACTAATCTTTGGCGTGGAGGACAGTCAGGACGGTCCCATTGAGAACAAGGAAGAATGTGTGTGGTCAGACAGAGCTTATATTTAGTTCTGATCAGATCTTAACAGGAGCAAGAGGGTAAGAAAGCGTGAAAGTGACAGCCTGAAGCTTGGATGCTGCGACACAGTAGACAGGAGGTAGCCGCCACTGCCAAAACTGGAAATAACAGCAAACAACCACAATTCCGGTTGCTGTTCCTGTGTCGCGGCTACTTACGATTTGGATGTATTGATACAAGATTCTGAGTGTCCGCCATCAAGATGCGAAAGTCTGGAGGCGTTCAAAGCGGCCAACAATTCAACAACTGCGACTACAACGCCACGTGAGCAGAGACAAGACAGTACCAAACAAAGACACGACGGTAAAACGCGATGTATGCAGTCTGAAACGCTTCGGCAGCACAATGCACATGTCGCCAGGCCGTGATACTCGCCACACACAGCAAGAAGCACAGCATGACCAAAACAATCCATGCCAAAACATCACACCACGAACTAGAGCAGCCATATCCTAGGGTAGATCACCTCGGAACGCCTCTACCTTGGGTCTCGGGCCGTTTGCAACGGCTGGGCGGAGCTGAAGAAACCACGCACCACCTGTCATCGGCAGCTGTTGCGGGACGAACAATCTTATCCGTACCATCTCTCCGCTACTGCAACCCAGACCTTTCCGCACGGCCAGCACCATAACAAGACGACAGAGAGTAGGAATCAGCGCATCGCAAGGCTGGAGTCGCACGGCCTCTTGCGGAGTATAAGCGGGTCCTGAGACCCTGCTACGATCCCATTCGCGCATGTTGCGCACGGGCCTCTAGCCTCGATGCTCGCTCCGTTTGTGTCGCGATCCCAAACGGTGATGGCCTAGGGCTTCATTGTCGTCATCAAGTAATCATTCAGTGCTAATCTGTACCACCGTGCCTGTGCGAGGTGGTCAGGGCGAGTCGAGAGCTACGAGGGGACTTGCACGGTTCGATGATGTCGATGATGCGGTGCTGATAGGTCTATGTAAGGTATGCCAGGGAGCGACGTCAGTGGAGCCGCACAGGTACATAGCAAACGTCTCGTGCGCGTACGTGCAAGCAATCATGTCTGTTTTCTGCTCATCACGGCTGGCACAAGGCGCAATCAGAGCAACTCGGCAGTCTTCCTCACCGTTTGTGACCCGCGCGCCTGCAATTCGACTACGCAAAGTACAGTTCCTCACACACCACCGCGCACTCTCTAGCACATCTACACCGCAGTCCAAGATGCCGAGCACGCGCCAGCAAGACGCGCCGGGCAACACGCCGGTGCAGAAGAGCCACCGCGCCACCGCGCAGAACTGCACCGAGCACTGGGAAGACGAAGAGCACCTGGAGCAGAACAAGAAGCACTTCCAGGAGTTCCGCGCGCAGCGCAGCAAGTCCTCCTCGGCTGGTAGCGCATCAGGCTCCGGCGGCTCCGACTCGGATCTCCATGGTGATGTGCCGGGGGGCATGAAGCGCGGACGCGGCGCGAATCAGGCTGGGGGCCAGAGCAAGAAGGCGAAGAGCGCGGAGACGGATCCGTCGGGTCTGCCCCGGGGTGATAAGACGAGGGTGCCCAAAGTGGGGCAGCATGTGCACTGGAAGTATGGAAAGGGGTACGCAAAGGGCGAGGTAGTTGAGGTGTTGTACGAGAAGAAGGAGATTGAGGGCAAAAAGGCGGAGGCGAGCAAGGAGGACCCAAGGCTGGTATTGAAGGCGAATTCGTCGGGGAAGCTGGCGGTGCACAAGCCGGAAGACTGCTACTTTGATTGAGTCACGGTTTCATGGTGGTGGTTCGGGGTGACGGTGCTGATGGGCACGTGAGCAGCGCACGAAAACGGACAGTCTTGCATAGCAACGAGCCCCACGACGAGCAATGAGCTGTCTGGTTCGCTTTCTGCTGCCGGCTGTGAGCGTCAACAGTTTCAGAACACAGCGGCGTGCCTGGATGGGTGCAGTGTATCAGAACAGCACAACGGTTACCTGTATGGGATGTGCCTGGGGATGCAGTGTATTCTATCAAGCATTGGTCTGAGCCCAGACGTTAGCTCATCTCATCGACTCCCTCGACACGGTGCCTGCATATGCCGACGAGCATGATGACTTCGGACGTTCAAGTCATGACGACTGCCGAACGGCGTTCTCATAAGCTTTCGCGGGTCCACAAGCCACTTCCCCAGACGAATACTATGTAGGCTACCGATTCGGGTGTTTCTACGGTGAAATATTTAGATGAGCGCACACAATGCGTCTTAGGTGCATTGCTAGCCGGTCTGGGCCACTCAGGAGGGTTGGAAGTGAAGGGCCGCTGCAGTCGCCATTGGCGGGCTGCTAGTGCAATGTGCAGACTTGGGATGTGCGCCCAGAAGAGAGGGTTCCGCAGGTGCTACCGGGGGCATGGGCATGTTGATCTCGCGAGAGTTTGTCATAAACAAAGAGATGCTGTGTGACGTCTGGCGTCGCCTGACCGTGGTGTGAAAATAAAACTGCTCTCAGCCACAACGTGCGCTAAGCCGCCGCTGACAGCCGTGCATTTGTCCTGTAGGGACTGCCAGTCCTGGCTAAAGTTGACGGTAAGCGTGAGATGGATCACAGCCAGGACACACGCCGACGGGCGCGGTGTTGCTGCGCAGGGCTTTGTTGATCTCCAGGGCCGTTGGCCGTCGATGTGCCAGGGCTCCCGGCTAATCGGGTGGAGACGACTCGACGCGGCAGGCGCTGCTGGACACGGCTGCTGCCAGTCTGCAGTGTCACATAACAGTGTGGGCTGCAATTCGCCCCATGCCTCGACGTCTGTACTCGGAGAGCTTCGCCACCGTGTTGCTCGACGACGGACGCCTAAACAGGCAAGAATGAGGGCTTGGGAGCCATGCGCGGTGCTGCAGGCGTCAACAAGCGTGCGGTGCATGGGGCGTCGTCTGCGCAGTGCGTGCGCTCGCTGGCCAATTCGAAGCGGGCGGGTTTTCCGCGCGCCTTGTGACTTCACCAGGGCCCTTTCGTCTCTACGCGGCGTGGGGAATGCCAACTGGATAGCGTTGCTGAAGGGCGCCCAAGCTGCAGCCGGCGGACGTGCAGCATCACGCTCGCGCCGTTTCTTGTCCCCGCCGGCCCTGTGTGGCCGCGTTAGCTGAGACAGCCCTCCAGCGCCTGTCCGCCTTATTGACGGTTGTGCCCCTCCGCTCCCAGCACGCCAAACAACGAAAAATAGCCGACGCCTGACAACGTCTGACGGCGCCGTGTACATCCGCAGGCAACGCCCTCCTCGCCCGCTACGCGCCAATCCGACGCCCGTGAGCACCAATCCGACGCCCGTGAGCACCAGTCCAACGCCCGTGACCGCGTCAGAAACTCTCCGTTTGCTGCGCTCGCCCGGCGATGCAGCGTCGCTAGCGCAGCCGTCAGCGCCGCAATTGCTTCGTCCCATCGCACCCAGCACTGCACCGTCGACCGCCAGCACCAGCGACACCCCCAGGCAGCACACTCTGCCGGC